GTAATTCGAGTATTTAAGACATAATGTAGTAAATGATAGTATGTAAATAATGTGACATTCGCTATTGTATAATTATTTTATTCTAAATCATACATTATCTTTTGATTTAATTAAATCGATATGTTCTTTATCTATCATAGGTTTTGATTTCTTAAATTGTCAATATCTTTATATATGATGTAAACTAATATTTTTCTATATTCGCTTTTATGATGTAGGTAAGCTACAATGCGAAAGAGTAAGTTGAAAGAAAAACATATAAGATATTTTAGTTTAAAATCGTCTGCGGCACCTATAGATATTAGCTATGAATTGAATCTTTTGAAGGAAAATGAATGTACTATCAGATTTAATTCTGTCACTTTTCACCCTTCAACTGATATTGGATATGGTAATACGGAAGGTACAGGTTTATATAGTACCCCATTAATTGATTATGCTTTAAATTTGAATGCAAGTATAATATACTCCAATTTTAGAATTTGAATATAATGATAAAAGTATTACGAATTTACAAATATATTTTTTATTTGTTGTAGTTGATAACAATGATCATCGAAGGACCAGAGGTCGGACAACTTTAAAGGAATTGTTTGCACTAACTCCTAACGAGCGTATTGTAGTGTCTGCAAACTTTGATAGGCAACCAATTGATGAAGAGGCTCAACTATTGGCTGAATTTCTAGGCATGCTAGCCCGTAATGGAATGAAATTGCCTATTTATTATGAAACATGGCATAAAATTTCAGAAGAAATTAAAGTCGATGCGTTAAACTTTATTGAGGTATTAGTATAATTAATTAGATATAAAAAAATTTTATTTTAAATATTGTTTACTTATTCTAACTTTTATTATTGTATTATTATAGTCAAGATTTATACTTGAAATACCAACTTCATTTGTGTTTAAGTCATTGGGAAAGAAATGGAAATATTATAAGCATAGTTTGAAGAATAAGTATTTCGATCAAAATACTACTGTAGAGGCGATGATGGAAAATCTACCCCGTAATGTGATTAGGTGGCAACATGAACAACTTGTTAGATTTTGATTCTCAAGAAAAAAAAAGGTACTAGTTTATAACTTTGTGTAGTAGAATGAAATGATGAAAGTGTTTTATAGTTTAAGATAATGAAATGATGAAAGTGTTTTATAGTTTACGTTGGTAATATTTGTATTTCTATCATATACGTAATTATTTTTTATGACAGAAAAGAGAATAGATTGGGATTGGTAGCAGAAAGCAACATAAATATAGCCACACAAGTGGATCAAAAAGTTTTGCAAGAAAGCAAAAAGAAATCATAAGTTTATGATAATAAACGTATTCCAATGAATGAACTTTTTTAGCCATTAAAAGGTAAATATGCAAATTAACAGTTATTGTTCTGTTTTAATAGTTTTGATAGCTTTAATACATGATATTAAACTTATCAAAAGTTTGCAAGAAAGCAAAAGTAAATCATAAGTTTATGATAACAAACGTATTCCAATGAATGAACTTTTTTAGCCATTAAAAGGTAAATATGCGAATTAACAATTATTGTTCTGTTTTAATAGTTTTGATAACTTCAATACATGATATTAAACTTATAAAAAGTTTTAAACTTAGTTGGTACAAATGATATGTATGAAAAGTTATTGTTTACATAGATTTACGCGTTTAATACAGATTTGTTATGATTGTTGTATTTTAACAGTTTGGATAGCTTCAATACTTAATATTAAACTTGTTCGATTGATTGAACTTGATTTCTACGATTGATATGGAAGAAAAAGTTATCTTTTATGTCTGTTTGAGATTATTTTTGCATATAAAAGGCAAATATACAAATTAAACTTTTTGATGGCTTTCAACATATTGAATGGCTTCAATCATTGATATTAAACCAGGAGAAAATAATTGAATTTGGTTTCCATGATCGATATGTGTGAAAGCCCAAAATGATTTTATTGTTTACATATGTTTAAGACTATTGTGTTGTTACGGGGCTAAAATATAAATGCATGAGATTAAAATTATTCAAAATTTTAATACTTGATTGATAGGCTTGATATGCATAAATAAGTTACGGTTGATATGTATCATATCAAATAACATATGTTTTTGAATAGGAGAATGAGATGGGCGGTACAATTGGATGTGTGAAACTTTTTCGCATAACATACACAAAAAAAGATAGATTTTACAGGAATATTGAAACATAAGAAATTATGGTAATTTGTATCATCTATTTTAATAGAAAGTAAATATTTACTCTTTTTAACATGTAATCAATTAATCATTAAACTTGATAGTTGTATATGATAAATTCATAGGAGAAAGTGAAAGAAAAAATGACTGTTGAGATTGAAGTAGCATCCGATGGTTCTCTCAACATGTAAGAAATAAAAAATCGGATATTTATAAAAGTTACTGGAAAAGAAATGCATGGACAGGTCTGAGGCCTTGGATTGGGTCCAACACCATCTGCCTACTATGGACATAGTTCTCCACAATTTACATTCTCAGCAAGTCAGTCTTTGCGAGACATTTCAATATTAAAAGGTGAGTTGCAAACTATGCAACAACATTTTCAGCAAATGGAAGCAAAAAGAGAATAGGAGCGTGCCAAAATTAAGGAAGAACGTGCTAGAATAAAGTAAGAGCGTGCTAAAGTTTAGCAGGTGCATGATCGATTCGATCATCTTATGAATTTTGTGCAACAATAATTTTCAGGAAATGATATATAAATATTTAAGTTTTTAAATATATAAAAAGCTTACAATGAAGTGCTAAAAATTGTATGGTATTATTCAGTAGGTTCTTGAGCACGCTAGTGACTGAGGTGAAAATTTTTTTTCATCAATTGATAGCCAGCAAAATGTATGCAGTCATCCATTTCATACATTTTAATTTTTTATTTTGTTAATGTATATAAAATATTTGAATGTTATTATACTAATTATTAAACTTTGTATTAATTAGATATATATTTAAACGTGAATGAAGTTAATATAAATTTCAGTTTTTGAATTTAAGCTCTTTAATAAAAATAAAATTTGTTAAAAGAATTTAGAAAAAAATATATTTTTACATAATGACAGCGTTTGCATTCGTTGTGGGTCACTAAATGAATAATTTAGTGGCGTTTGTAGCATAAAATGCCACTATAAGTAACGGCGCTCTTACCAGCAAACACCGCTTGTTAAGTGACATTTTTTATACAAAAGCTACTAAAACAACGGCGTTTTTCTCATAAAAAAGTCACTGAATTAGCGACGGTTAAAAAAACGTCACTAATATAGAGGCGTTTTCAAATTCAAACGCTTCTAAAGTAGCGACGTTTTCAGTTACAAACGTTACCAAAGCAACGACGTTTTTTCTCAGAAAAGTGTCACTAATTTAGCGGCATATCAAAAATAGAAACGTTGCTAAAATGACGGCGTTTCAAATATTAATGCCACTAATACTAGGGCGTTTTTTCGAAAACGTCGCTATTTACTGTGACGCATGATAGCCGACACTCTGCGTGACGTTTTTTGCAAATGCCGTAAATCTTTTTGTGGCGTTTATAAATGCTGCTAAATGTTAAAAAAAATGCTACTAAAAACCAAAACCTCTTAAGTGACGCTCGCAAATGGAGTTAGGGACTTTGGTTGTTTGCATGGTATATATAGGAATTGGGGCTGAAGCAGCTTGGATAAGACTACTCTACCTACTAAGGAAAGTTTATTAATATTCCAACTAGCCAATCTGGCTTGAACCTTTTCAACAAGGTTCCAATATGTTCGTTTTGAGACCCTTTCGTGCATAATAGGGACTCCCAAATACTTTCCCAGATTATTGGTTCTTGGAATGTCAGAGATACTACTAAGTAGCCTTGTTGTTCTCTCCTGAGTATTCTTGACGATGAAAATTTTTGACTCACTGAAACTAACCGTCTGTCCTAACCATTTCCTGAAGGTTTCAAGAGCCATTTTTCTTTTCTACTCTCTCCAGTATGATGTGGGATAATCTTTCCATTCCAGGGACAAATAAAAATGGAGATAGAGGATCTCCTTGCCTCAATCCCCTGGTAGGACGAAATTCTTCTGTTTTTTCACCATTCCAAAGAAATTGAAAAGTTGTTGATGTGATACAGGACATGATAAGAGAAATAAAAGAATTATTCAGACCAATCTCTATAAGAATCTCATGAAAAAATTGGCAATTCATTTTGTCATATGCCTTTTCAAGATCGATCTCCCATGCAACTACACCAGTTTTTCCTTTTTTCTTATTTAAAGAACGCATCATTTCTTGAACAATAACCACATTATCAACAATATGTCGTCCAGGAACAAAGCTGCTTTGGCTGGGATCAATGAGAGCATGTAGAACAGTCCGAATTCTTTCGACCAAAATCTTTGTGACGATCTTATATACCACATTACAGAGACTGATAAGGCGAAGCTGATTCATATTTTCAGGATGGTTAGTTTTAGGGATGAAGGTAATGAGGGTTTTATTGGGACCCTCAGGAATGAAGCCAGATGAAAAAATTTCATGAAGTACCTTACACAACTCTTCTCCTACAATGTCCTAATTCTTTTGGAAGAAACAAGCTTGGAAACCATCAGGTCCAGGAGCCTTATGTGGTCCAATGCTAAACAATGCATTTTTTATGTCATCATCCTTGACTGGTCTATGTAAATTTTCTAACTCTGCTCTCGTGAGTTTCGGATAGGTAATAGAGATGCCAGGTCTTTCAATATCCCACAAAGTTTCATTGTATAGTACCTTGTAGTGATTAAGAGCAAGCTATTTGAGGCTGTCAGCTTCAGTGATCCATTGCCCTTCATGATTCTTTAAGGCAGCTATCCTATTTTTGCTTTTTCTAACGAGAGCCAATGTGTGGAAATAGCTAGTAATTCTGTCTCCAGACTATATCCACTGCTCCCTTGATTTCTGAAACCACAACAATTCTTCTTGTTTCAAAATCTATGTATATTTAGTTTGGAGTTTTCTCTCAATATTCTAAAGAAAAGGATTTGAGCTTTGGCATAAAGTTTTTTGTGCCCCTCTAATTCCAGCAAGGATTCTTCGTTTAGAATTGAAAATATTCCCGAATGTAGATTTATTCCACTCGACTAAAGTAGTAGCTAGGTTATCCAATTTGACAGGAAAGTCATCGGAATTATGATTCCAAATTCCTGCGCAATTCTTTTAAATCCATCATGTAAAGTCCAAGCTTCTTCAAATCTAAAAGGTCTTAGATTAGGAGAAAGATTAAGAATACCTTCAGTGTTTAAGAGAATCGGGCAGTGACCATGTTTGACCCTTGAAAGATGTAGGACAACTACTACAGGAAATAAGTCTTTCCTGGATGCTGTACATAAAACTCTATCAATTCGTTCCCAAACTGTGGATAGTCCTCTTGGAGACTTGCACCATGTATATTTTGGACCAACTAAGTCAATGAGCTCACAACTCTGTATCACCTCTTGGAATCTACATCGTCTTACATCCATGTTAAAAAAGTTGGATTTATCAGAATAGGCCGCAATCTCGTTGAAGTCACCTCCAATTATCCAGGGCATATTAGTTTTATTTTTTGTTTCCTTTAGGATGTTCCACAACTCATCGCTGAGTACTGGGATTGGGCTACCGTGGACTGTAGTAAGCTTTCATTGTGAATTATTTTTTGTAACTGTTGCCGTGACAGATTGAAAAGTTATTTCTTCCATGTAAATATCAACCTCAGCATCATTCCATAGCAACCAAATTTTCACCAGCAAACCCAATGCCATTCACTATTTTCCACCGTGGAAACCCAATTCTCTGAATAATGTTCTCTGCCCTGGCATTGTTGATCCTGGTCTCCATTAAACCCATAATTGCAGGCTTCTGTTGACTAACAAGATCTCTGATTTTTACAAAATCCTCACTTCCTGCACCTCTGACATTCCAAAATAAAACTCATAAAAAAAAGGATTTAAATGTGATAAGTAAGTCACAGAGTCAATTGACTCCTTCCATTGGCGTACCATTTGCGAGATTCGATAGCCTCAGAAGAAGAAATACTTCTGCTTCCAGAATTATCAGTGAAAATGGTGGTAACAAGTTCCTCTGGTCCTCCATTTCTGGCATCAATATTAGCTCCATTTGAACTAGTGAGGATCCCATCAATGTTGATAGTGGGGTGATGGTTAGATTCTTTATCAACCGTTTCCTCCCGAAGGGACTTTCAGAGTGTGGACTCGGCTAATTTCTTCAACAACCAAAACCTCTTTAGGAGGATGGCTCAAAAAAAGTTGGGTGGTGCTAATATAGGCCAGAGAAATGGGATTGGGTGGTGTAACTAGTGTTTTTGTGTAAGCAATGTTCCGTGCGAAAGATGATGTTTGGAAAGGATTGTTGGGAGGGGGAGTGGTCAAAGGGGCATGTACGACAACTGGCTTGCAAATGTTTCTTTTTTTTGGAAAAGACTTTTGACAGTAGATTTTTTAACACTACTCGAAGCTCCAAAGGTAAAATTTGTGGGGATATGTTGAGTGCTTTGACTGGAATTTGAGTCAAAAAGGGACCCAGCACCAGTATTTTTGGTAACATTGGTAATATTCGGAAAGGGATGGAAGTTTGTTTCCTTTTGTTCAATGCCTTCTGGTGGCCCGCTTAGTCATTGTTAGGAAATCAACATATACATGCAATATTCATATATAAAATAATAAACTTAAATTAAAAATAAAAATACATAAATATATTTATTTCGGTTCAACTTAAAATGATCTATTCCAAACTTAATCCACTAACAAATAAATTTTTACAATTATGAGATTTTTAGAATAAGAAAAATCTTCAAAAATTCTTTACTCAAAATTTAACCAAAAACTCAATTACATCATTTTAATAACCTATTCACTTAGCTGTTCTCTTAGTGTCTTATTATTTGGGATTACTAAACCAAAAACAAAACCTCTTATTTATAAGGGTAAAACCTCTTATAACTTTACTAAACTCCCGATATAGGATACAAGATAAACTCAAAACTCTTATAACTTTCAATGTGGGATTATAAGATTCAAGGCAAATCCTAACAAATTCTCCCTTAACTTGAATCTCCAATCACTTCAACAGTATATGCAAAGCTAATATGCTTACCTATTTTTTTTCATCACAGGGATCCTAGCAACTGAGCCTCTATCAAGTATGTACAAGTGATTTTTGACCATATTCTCTTGTAGAATCACATTACCATTCTTGTACACTTTCAATGAATCATTACTACCATAGTATGTGTACCCCCGAGAAGTTAACTCACCCAAAACAATTAAATTATAGCTACAACTCGGTACATACCTTACATGACGAAGTATCCTAACAACACCATTATGAGATCTAAGGCGAAGACTCCTAATACCTTGAATCTGTACCTTTTTTTATTAACAACCACAATATCTCTATACTTCTCATTCTCATCCAACTGTACAAAGCAACTCATATCATTGCAAACATGAACTGTAGCAACTGAATCCAAAACCCAACATTTATCACCTTTCAAAATCTTAGTCTCATCCACATAAGTCGTCAAAACAATATCATCATCATCAGATACAACAGCAACAGTATCATTTTTTCCTTCATTTGATTCTTTTTCATCATTCGTCCTTTTAAAAGCAGTCATATCTTTTCTCAACTTCTTACAGCGCATTTGGATATGTCTCTTTTGACCACAATAATAACATTTTATATCACTGTAATATCTGTCTCTTAACTTGGATACCCCTTTTGATTCATCAATTCTCTTTTGAGTCTTCCCTCAATCAAAACCTTCACAGCTAGTGTACTCCTCTTAAGTGATAAGTTATGTACTCTATAAACTTTTTCATTATCATGCAACAAGGCAGTCACATTATCCAACTTCAAAATAGATCTACCCACCAATAAAGTCTAAACTAAAGGTCTATAAGACTTGGATAAAGATGATAGCAAAATTAAAACATTTTATTCATCTTCTAACTCATCAATAGAAACCACAGCAATTGAAAAACTAATCTATTAAACTCATTCAGGTGATTATGAAGACTCGTACCTTCTTTTATTTTTAGAGAATACAGATTCAGCTTCAAACATAATCTGTTTGTCAATGACTTCGAAGCATAAATACCTTCAAGCTTATCCCATAAACTCTTCATAATACTTTTAGTCAACACACTATACTTTATCTCTGGGGCTAGCATTAATCTAATAGTATTAACAGCCTTTTAACCCTATTGTACTAACAGATCTTGAATTATACTTTACCATAACATAAAATTACTCTTTTCATCAAATAACGAAATCTCAAACTTAGGTATGGGCATACTAGACATACCTTTTTTACATATCTTAAAACACTTGCTTCTCGATCTCTTGAGCCCGCGAACCTTAAACCTCGAACCTCGCTCTGATACCACTAGTTAGGTAATCACCACAGCTTTGATATCACTTGTTAAAAAATTAATATGCACACGCAGCACCCATACATAAAATAGCAAGCTTAAATTAAGAATAAAAATACACAAATATATTTGTTTCGGCCCAACTCAAAATGCTTACTCCAAACCTAATCCATTAACAAATAAATCTTTACAACTGTGAGACTTTTAGAATGAGAAAAGTCTCCAAAAATTTTTTACTCAAAACTTAACCCAAAACTCAATTACACCATTTTAATAGCCTACTCACTTAGCTATTCTCTTGGTATCTCACTATCTTGGATTACCAAACCAAAAATAAAACATCTTATTTATAAGTGTAAAACCCCTTATAACTTTACTAAATTATCGATGTAGGATACAAGACAACTCAAAACTCTTATAACTTTCAATGTGAGATTATGAGATTTAAGGTAAATCCCAACAATCATTTCCTCTTATATTCACATTTTCTTTCATAGACAATGATAATTCTTCCCTAGTTTCTTCCAAGATTTGAAACCTGGATCTAGATCCCTTCTTAGGCCCTTGTTTACTAATCTGGCCCTTATTGCCATTAGAGTTTCTTGTTCTTCTTTTTGCAACCATCTAGGGCCCAAATTGAGAGCCCTCTTCTGTCTTTCTCTCTGTCTATTTCGATAACTTCTTTGGTGTAGTAATGTTGGCACGATTTCAATAGTAGGTGAAGACTGTATCTCTGTTAGCTTGTAAGCTGGGTAATTTGTAGACTTTTTTTGGTGGCCACATATACCACATTTAAAACAAATATTTTCCAAGCATTCATATTCCACTCTTTGCCATCTTGGTCCAATCCCAAAACCACCAAGTAATGGTTGTTTTAGAAAAACTTGAACACAAACACTAGCAAACTTACTTCGCACGAAATCTCTAGTATTTCTATCAATCTTTAAAGTATTACCAATAAGATTCCCCATATCCTTCAACATCTTTATATCAAAAAATTTCACTGGCAAACTTAGTAAGTGAATCCAAACTACAGCGGGTGAGATTTTTTTTTCCTAAGGGTTGAATAATGGTTTTCATTTCTAGACAGTTAAGTAGTAGCCTCCAAGTAGTCATGGTCCTTCAGTTAAGATGTGAACATAATCCTTCGATTTTTTCACTTTAACCAAATAATAGTTATTACCCAAATCCACAAGTGAAAACTCCTATTGAGGTTTCCAAATAGCTTGTAGTCTATTAAAAAGAAAATTAAAACCATAAGATTTACTCATAGGTTTCACTGTAATGGGGTATTTGGTTAGGAAAAATTCATATATTTTTTTTGAAATCTTATTGTTGGGTATTTGATTCTAACATTTGGTTCAAAATAATCTGATTTTGGTAAAAATCGATAGATTTTTTTATAGTACTCAAAGTGTCAAAATCAAAAACTCATCTCTTTCTGTGGTATTCTAAGATTTCGAAAGAGAAAGTAATATTATTTCTAAACTTAACCTGACTAAAAAATTATGAAATAACCATTACTATTTTGAAAAATATGTATAGAAATGACTACAATTAAGTTATTTTAAGACGTTTTCTTGTCAGAAACGCCTTAAGTAATTCTATTCAATTTTTTATAAGAGATTATTCAAAGCGTTTTCTGAGAAAAAATACCTTAAATAATCTAAAAAAAATGAAAGGGGATTATTCAAGGTGGTTTTAGCCAAAAATACCTTGAATAATCCAAAATAAAAGGGACTAGATTATTCAAGGTGTTTTCTAAGTAAAAACCCTTTGAAAATTCTCAAAAAAAAAATTAAAAGGGATTATTCAAGTCATTTTTGTCAAAAATGCCTTAAATAATCTTCTAATAAAAAAATTGAAGAGGATTATTAAAGTCATTTTTTGTTAGAAATGTCTTGAATAACCTCATTCAAAATTTTTTTATAGAAATATTCAATGCGTTTTCTAATCAAAACCATCTTGAATAATCTACTTTAAAAAAATTAAATGAAATTATTCAATGCATGTTTTTACAAAAAAATGCATTCAATAATCTCATTTAATTTTTTATAAAAGATTATTCAAAGCTTTTTTTAGATAAAAATATCTTGAATAATCCGGTCATAAAACTTAGACGAAATTATAGAAAATATTTTTAGAGAGAAACACATTGAATAACTTTATTTAATTTTTTATAATAGATTATTCAAAGCATTTTCTTATCAAAAACTTCTTGAATAATCCCTATAAAAATAAGAGAAAATTATGAAAAGTATTTTTGACATAACAGGTCTTGAATAATCTCCTAAAAAATTAAAAAAAAATTTTTTAAGTTTTTTTTGACAAAAAATATCTTAAATAACCTCATTCAATTTTTAAAAAAAATTATTCAAAGTATTTTCTAACTAATTAAAAATTAAATTATTTAAATTATTATCATATATATCAAAAAAAATATAATAATTATTTAAAATTTAATATATATAAATTTTTTCAATCAAACAAATGAATTTAAACACAAAATATTTAAAAAAAAAAAAAAACCCTTCAAATATCACATTTTTTCCATTTTTTCTTAAAATTTACTATTTCACGAATCAAACTCCCCGAAACGTCTTCTTCCATTTATCACATGCTTTCTTAAAATCTCCAACTGAAATATGCACTGGCGGACCTAAATCAGGTCTATCAGACATTTGATCGAGGTCGGGATAACCAATTCCATGTCACCCAACGATTCATCCAACGAAAGCGATTTCGCATCATCACCATGGAGAAAAGCTTCTTTCAAGGATCCTTGACTAATCTCGTCACCTGGTGGTTTCCAATTTCCATTTGTTCACCTTCATTTTCTACAGTATGGGATCTCTTCAAGGCAAGGGTCAACGGGGTTCATCGTCACTTGTCCCATGGCGGAGGGGGGTCTACCATCATAAGGTACCAAGGCAGTTGAGGCCTAACGAGCGTAAAAAAGTAATTATTTTTCTTAAGAAAAATTTTAATATTTTATTCTATACAAATATCTCTCGAGGTATCGCTTTGTCTCATATATAAGACAAAAAAACGTTGTCTGAAATATCTAAACTACTCTCAAATTGCCACCTGATATTGTAGCAAATCCCCTTTTTTCCTTGCTCTTTCTTTTCTACCGACGATCTCTACACTGCCTTCTTCTTCAGCTCACCCCAAATCTCCTAACCCCTCTTTTAGTTCCCTGAGATTCGTCCATTCCCAACTTTTACCTTCCCAATTATACTCTTGAGAACATCATGGATCTAGCCCCGGAGGAGCTTCAGTTCTTGTCCATTCCAGACATCCTCAGAGAATCAATTTCGATCCCAAAAAGATCCCCAAAAACCTTCTGTCTCATAACCTTAGCTCTCATTTTTCCTCTCTCTTTTGCCATTTTAGCTCACTCGCTTTTCACACACCCAATCTTAACTCAACTCGAATCACATCCATTAGCCGACCCTGCCCAAACCCGTCATGAGTGGACCCTCCTCTTAACCTTCCAATTCTTTTACCTCATCTTCCTCTTTGCCTTCTCTCTTTTATCAACTGCTGCAGTTGTCTTTACAGTTGCATCTCTCTACACATCAAAGCCAGTCTCTTTCTCTTCCACGATCTCAGCCATTCCCAAGGTTTTTAAGCGCCTTTTTATAACTTTCGGATGGGTTTCTCTCTTGATGTTTGTTTACAATGCCTTGTTGATTGCTTTCTTCGTCTTATTTGTCATTGCCGTTGATACCCAGAATGCCCTTTTATCTTTCTTAGCATTTATGGTGATTTTGGTGCTCTTTTTGGGTGTTCATGTTTACATCACGGCGCTATGGCATTTGGCTAGTGTGGTGTCGGTGCTTGAACCGGTTTACGGGCTTGCTGCAATGAAAAAGAGCTATGAGTTGTTGAAAAGGAGGGTGAAGATGGCTTTCATTTTGGTTTTTGGATATTTGGCAATTTGCGCTGTGATTGGGGGTATTTTTGGAACGGTGGTGGTACATGGAGGAGAAAGTTACGGGGTTTTTGGGAGAATTGCGGTGGGGGGATTTTTGGTTGGAGTTTTGGTGATTGTGAATCTGGTGGGCTTGTTGGTTCAGAGTGTATTTTACTATGTCTGTAAGAGTTATCATCATCAGGGAATCGATAAGAGTGCATTGCATGATCATCTTGGTGGGTATCTTGGGGAGTATGTGCCTCTCAAGACCAGCATTCAAATGGAGAACTTGGATGCTTGATTGGACAAGGAAAAACTGTATTTTGTGAAATGATTTAGAGAGGAAACATCTTTCAAAAGGGTATGTGGGATCCTATGCTGTTTTTAGGAATCTTCACGTATTTGTTCCCCTCCTACTTCCCCCTCCCCCCTCCCTCCCTTTCAGTCTTTGGCAATAGAAGTTTTAGTATGTAACTGCCTTCCATTTCTGTTTTATGTTTTCTTAACTGTTAAGCATCAGTTGTTGAATGACAAACTTGTATACTAGACTGCAAACTTTACGGTAACTGAAAGATCCTATTGTTCTTTCGCCTGTGTTTATTATGTTATTGAGAAATGAGTTTTAGACTTGGTGTTGGATTGCCTATATTCTTAAAATTGTTGATGTATTCCAGGAGTAGGTCCAAATTCTAGGATTCCCTGATCATGTAATGAGCAGTTGCTTCCTAACTTCGTTTAGTTGTAGTGTGTTTCAAGCAAAGGAAGCTATTGATGTGAGAAAAGAGATTGCTGTCGTGTAAACCAGATAGGTGGTTTGTTTTTAGCTGCCCAACGTCATAGAGACATTTAGAATTTCCATAGTCATTGGTCAGAGAAATATATACATGTCTCCCTAATTAGTTGTTTAATGTGTGCTGTCAGCCATCCTTTGAAAGGAATGCCTGGAATAAGGTATTCAAGCAAGGCTGAGAGACGGAGTAACATGTTTTTAATCAAGTAAACATTTACGTCATGTGTTCTTATCACCCTTTCACTGGGGATTCTGGTTCACTTCCAGCCCTGCCCAGGGATTCATTTTAAATTTAACAAGTAATAACTTTACAAACACGGATGATACCCTTCATAATTCATTACATAAGTTCATGCTGTTGTTAGAGCCATTTATTCATTAGAATTAATCCCAGTCCTCTCCTTTTAAGTACCATTCAATAAATAATTTTAAAAAAAGCAATATATATATATATATATATATATACCTTTTCTTTAAATTTTCTAGATAAGACAAACCATCGCTGAAGCATTTAGTCCATACAGTTGCAAAAGAAAGGGATAAAAAGTGTTATTATCACGGGGTTTTCACAGCAAATAAAAGCAAATTCTTACCAAGATTAAACATTTATTCAAAGTAACTTATATCCAACCTGAATAGAATGGCTTCAGCGGCCAAAACATCATACAAATTTATCACAACTTGCTCTTTGGTAACCCAGTTGGTGCAACCCTAGACCTTATCTCCTCTCTTCTAGACAGTTGCTTCACATCATCTTTCAACAGAAAACGGGGTTTGCTCAGCCATTGTCCTCCATCAACAACCAAATTTGTTCCATTGACAAATTTCCCTTTAAGCATTAAAAAATGCAATATTTTGTGTAAGTAAACAACTGGAAGGAAACATAGGCTACTGAGATGACCAGATAAGGTAAAAGTGTAGAATGTTGATGCAAAAAATGAAGAGTTGCCAGCATTTCAAAGTTATGAATTCGTCTTACATGGTATTGTAAAGGTTTATAGGTTTTTTTTTTTTTTTTTTTTTTTTTTGTAGCCCTTAATACATCAGCATAAAGGTTTAGAGTTTTACGCAACATACTGCCAGGTCCAAACAGAATAAACATAATAATAATAATAGTAATATTAAAAGAATAAATGACCATAAAGCAAGCAGAAGCAGCTAATATGTAAGGTTCTAAACAAGTTACTAAAGGCCATTCAGAAGATAACATTCCTGTTAATCTTCAACTTAACTCTTGCTGAATAATATGACAAAAACTTACAAACAAGGAAATGAAAACAAAATTCCGGAATCTTATGACTGAACATTAGGATACAACCATCTTAGCAACCTGAACTGCATCCAAATTTCATTGTAAAACCCTTGCCTAGTACATTTTCAAACACTTAATTTATCTTTTTCTTGACAAAGCATGATGATTTATGCTCCCTTCTCAACCCTTTACTATTATTACATAACAGACATCGGCAACCAGTGCCATAACCACAATCCATCCATGATACACCTTAGCTCCTCATTTTCAGAACATTGTCTCCAGCAATCACCGTACATGAGGCATAAGGTGTTCAGAATTTCCTTAAAAAGCCTGTCTTAGGTTCAGTGAAAATTTGTCAAGCAAGCATGATTCTGCTGCCAATCCTTTGTAGGTCCACTTCTATTTTCTTCCAGGCACTTGATTGAAATGTGGGGCAATTTTAAGTCTTAGTTTATCAACTCTCTACATGTGGAGTTCTACCACCAGGAAAATTTCAACTTTGCTCCAAATAACACATTCAATGATCTATCAAACCTATAACGGAATAATTCTTTTCTTTCTACAAATTCCATAACAAACATGATGAAGCCATATTCCATTAAACAAAAGATATTGCACTTATTAGCATCAAAATCAAGTGTCATCCACTGATTACTGATTACCCTATTACCAATAGCAAGAGAGAATCAGCACGGAATAACATTGTTCCACCACTAGTTTTCTTCACTAGCATATCCCATCAAATCTACATATAAGAAATGTCCATACCAATCATTAGTTAAGAAACAAAGTTACCATCAGAGGAAAGGTTATTTCAAGGTGAGGTTTCCTGTGTAATTTAAGCTTAGAGCACAAATAAAGGGAATGGAGGAAATGGAAGAGTACTACTGGAATGGATGGCGATGAACTCAGAGAATAGAATGTTCCCCAAGGTGTGAGACTTAAATAAACTATCTATCAAGAAATCCAGATCATCCCATGACTGAATACTAAATCTTTAGCCAGAACTTCATAAGGCATTGAGAATCATTGCATCAAGGAAAATGATTCTTCCTTTTTTGTATTTACCAATTTTCCCCAATGACATTTGAATTCAGATCCCAGAAGCACCAAAATTTGTCCTTGTCATCAGTGCCTCCAATACAGTATTAGCAAATATAAATATTGGCAATAATCACAAACTGACTTCCAATATTCCCTGAAAACCGCTTTTCCCTACAAAAAATCAACTGCTTGCCAAACGCTGCTTCTGTTAAGCTTATAGGTCTAAAAGAGAAACTAAGGTATTTAAGGCCAGATAAGATTGCATAAAGAAACAGTTCAAGTAAACAGGTTCAGATACAGGAATTCAAACCTGGTGTAGTTGAATGATGGTCATAGAACTAAATAACTAGAAAAAAACTACAAACCTGCTTCAGATGCAAGATAGAGAGCAGCCATAGCAATATCCCATTTCTCCCCAAATTTTGACAAAGGTTTCTGTTTAACCTTGCTTATCATCTCCTCAGGTGCAAGTTTAACAACACCAGCAGTGTCCTCAATAGCCCCTGGTGCAATGCCATTGACTCGAATGTCATGATCTTCCCCCCACTCCAATGCCAAGCTTCTGGTAATACTATCAACAGCTGCCTGGTGGAAACAAAGCAAATGAAAACTGAATCCCATTCAAAAGAATGAAAAGTGAAGATTTAACAAACTTGCCAACAAATTTACTAACTTTGGCAGCAGATGCATGAATTTGGTACCATGACGCTCCAAATTGTAATATTGCACTTATGTTTATTATTGCTCCACCAGTGGATGGGTCCTTCCCAGGTCCCCCTTTCTTAAGATACTTAAGTGCCTCACGGCACATTCTAAAAGTGCCAATAGTATCTATATCAATCACTGCAAAAGCCGATAAAATAAAATAAAATAACAAATTAATTTACCTCTAAATGCCTTATTTGGAGGGGGAAAAAAAAGGAGACATAAAATCTGAATACAATATAGTTTTGCTTTAATGTTATTTGAACACTGTTGCACACTTCAGTTTTATTTATTCTAGGACTGACGTTAGAAAGTCAGCATCTCCAACAAAAGAGGAGCCTTTAAATTAGAAATAGACAATAATTCCATAAGACATTGAACTCTGGAAACAGTACAAGGTTTTGACTAGAACAACTAGAAAATTTAAGGAAAGACCTTCAGCAATTATCAATTTATGTGCAACCTGTTCGAAAGCCATTGGGAGATAAATCCTCAGCAGGCACAAGGAAATTGCCAGCTGCAGCATTCACAAGGATGTCAAGCCTGCCAAAATGCTTAAAGGTTGATTCCACAGTTCTAGCTGCATCATCCTCCTTTCTAACATCTCCATGAAGCCCAATAGCCTGCAATAAGAAAATTTAACTAATCCTAATTCCCATCTCCACACAATCAAGCACTAAAACTCTAGCCGCACAGTGATCGTTAAGACTATATAATCATCATACTAATTAACAACTAGAGAGGAAAAATTCTCTTTTACTACTGTAAATCTAAAAGAAAATTTTGTTCAACCGTTTTGGAATAAAATTAAATTAGAACATGATCCTTCTTTACAGAATTTTCTTTCAACCCGTGAAACAATATTATCTATGACAAAAGCTTTCCACCCATAATCTTACATCAATTCCAAAGATTTTGGGAAACCCTCTTGACGGATGATCTTCAGAGTTCACATTTCAAACAGGACAGAAAAGTAATAATAAAGACGCACTAAGAGGCTATAGAGTAGATATACAAGGAAGAAAAGGAAAATTACAGGGATGCCATGGGAATGAAGAGCAGCAACAGCAGAGTCAAGAACATGTTTGCGTCGTCCCATGATGGCAACAGAGGCACCATGTTTCCCAAGTTGCAATGAAATCTCGTAGCCGATTCCTGAGCCTCCTCCTGTCACCAAAGCTACCTTGCCTTTTAATATATCTGCTTTGAATGGTGACTCCATCTTCACTTAGTCTGCGTTCTTTCTCCTTGGTTGACTTCCAGGTTCCAACCTAACTCTGAAAAGAAAAACAAACACTCCCAAACTCAAATAGGTGTTCGGTGAAGACAAGGAAAAAGGATGTCAAACGCTGATGACAAGGAAAAAGGTTGTCGTGGGCTGGGAGCATTAACTTGGAATGACAAATTAATTTTATAGGGCATAGGCTGATAGCTTTTGCAGGGACTGATAATTGACTGACCCAAGACCAAGGACCAGGCATTTAAAGGTTACTGGCCAACGGGCCCTAAAATGATGTGGTTGCTAAACATTGAGCTGCCCAATTTTCAACGCCCGGTAGATCTATTCTTGTCTTTTATATTTCGTGACAAATCCTTATTAGATCACATTATTAACAACAAATAATGCATCAATTCAATCCTTCCCACTTCCCCGGCCCCTCTTAAACACCTTTATAGTATGGAAGGGGAGGTTTTGCTATATGAGGTGTTGCTAATGTGAGATAGATATACATAATACATAATTAATTCATGTTTTGAGCATATCATGCTGCTTGAATTCTATTGTTAATTACTTTCTGCATGCGCTGAGAGCTAGGGTGACAACAAATCTAAGTCTACTCTGTCAATATAAGGGCGTTTCAAGCTTCAATATTAATGATCACTTCAAATTTCTAAGGGACCATATATGGAACAAGAGCCTAATTGTTTGGGCAAGAACCATTAATAAGACAATAACTTCACACATACATATATATATATATATACATATAGAGAGAGAGAGAGAGAGAGATTGCTTGTTTGAAATAATATGCTAACTATTATTATTTAAGAAAACAACTGAAAGGAGTCCAGCTTTTTGCTCCATGATTTAAACATATGAACTGGTAGAGCTTTATTTTTATGTGATGAATTGTGGAGAGAAATAAGAGTCAGGCTGAGAACTATATATTCTTGGGATTAACAGAACAGAACCACCGGAAGAGAAGGTTTAGAGTTTAGGCAGTCGTTTTCCAGCTAACACCAATACAACCACGCATATGAAAATGAAAATATATAGAGAGAGAAGGTTAATGCGCGGACGTTACCTTAATCTTGCTGCCTAACATGATCTTCTTTGCTTACTTGACAATACTTAATTATTATATAATGATGATAATTGTGAAATTGCGGTTGTCTAATCTAACTGATCATGATTGAATTAATTATACAGTTCTGACAAAAAAAAAGTTAATTACACAGTTGAAAATACCATTGAGATTAATTAGACAACTAATACATAGAGCATTTGAGTGCTGGTACGAGTAATTTGATTGCTCTTTTTGCTTTTTTTCCTAATACCCTACTATTATGTTTTTCTTTTTCTTTTTTTTAATCAGAATAAAAAAAAGTCAAGTTTTAAATTTTAGATAAAATCAAATTTTAATTTTTTTGTATAAAATAAGTCGTAGCCAAAGATAATAGAGAGGGATGTAAATATAAAATTCAAATATCAAACTTACTAAATATTTTTTTTTATAAAATTATATAAATAAATTTAACTGAATTTCAAATTTATATTTTAATAATTTTATTTTGTGTGATAATAATGTCGGTATTTATATATTACTATATCTATTTTTTTATTCTCAATAAAAAATGTATTATTCAAAAAATTGCAGCAACAAATCTAAGTTTGTTAAATTTAAGGTCAAATCATGATAGCTTAACGAGGAAGGAAAAAAGAATCATAATAATTCCCATAGTTTAATAATTAAGGAAAACAATCATAATATAATGTCAACTGATATAATCTTTAATATATGGCATAGGTCGCTTTCTCCATCTTAATATATATCTTCAACAAATGACTGCAAATATATATATATATGCATGCTACAACCACTACCAGTATTTTTCTTTATTAATTCTTCAAGCAGGCAGCATTTTATGGTTTATACTTTTATTTTATAAATGAAGACATTTGTAAGCGTGCCTGCATACATATATATGATTTTTTTTTTCTTTAACCTTGTAAATTTTTTTCATTTTGAAATCAAAGAAAGTATGATTGGGTTGGGTTGAATTGTGTCCTCAACGGTTTGGATTTTGATGGCGGTGGACTGACTGACTATTTATGACATGATAGTAGCTGCAGCCGGCACTTTCAGAATAGTTTGGAAAAATTTTCCTTGAAAAGACATAATTTTTTTTCCATTTGATTGGACATTGGAACCAGTAATAATGAATAAAAAAGGACATTTCCTTTGTTTTTTTTTGGGTAAATCAGCCGCCACTGAGTTTACATCAATTACATGCAAATGCTATTCTTTTTATTGTGAAACTTGATCTGCTACCAAATTAAAATTAAGATTCTGATTCTTTTTACCTGCAAATGCAGTGCTTTTCTTGCTTTTACTGTCGGGCTGCATTACTAGAAATAGAATGCCTTCAAAACCAACAGTTAAAGACTATGTTTAAAGATAACAAATATTTTTAACATACGAAGAAGGACTAAGTATAAAATTACTAGTATTAGGCTTTACAAAGCATAATGATTTCAAATATGAAACTTGAAAAGATTTTAACACAGCACACATATATATGTTTATATAAATTAGCATCTAAATAGTAAATATACCTTCAAAAAAGTAAAGATTAATTATGCCAAAATGATTGCAATTAATACTTTCACTTTAAAACCTTTTTTTCAGGTACAAAATTAAAACACCATTTTCTTACAATTCTAGGTCCCAACTCCCAGACCTAACCCTTTCCCTCCCCCAACACGTATAATTGAAAATAAAAATAAAAATAATGTAAACATGAGAGGGTGAAAACTCCATGAATGTGAATTATATCATATATTGTTAGAAAAGGAGTTGAAGCATGCAGTCGGTAGAATGCTCCACCTGGAAACTAAAAAAACTTCTATTTTCATTAAATACTAGTAGTTTTAGTAGTATTACAGTCCCACTATAATACCTTCCCATAAACATTAAAAAACAAAAACATAATCACCACAAAAAATTTTAACTAATCTATAAAGATCTTTGTGTGTTTTTTTTATTTAACATGTTAAAGATCTTAGTGTGTTAAGAGTAACAAACGTGTTGAGTAGAATAATAGTAAAAAAAAAAACGAAAACAAAAGTCTAAACTAACTACTTCCTCTCCTTAAGTCCTATCTCTCCCTGAAAAGGGCTGGCGGGGAGTTTTGATTGTTAACTACATGTGTCTTGCAGCAAGAAAGAAATGTAACTGACAAGTGACAACCTTCAAGAAACAGAATCCCTCGTATCCGCGTTAGAGTTGTTCAAGGCAAAACCGACTTGGGTTTTTGTTTGTCTCAGTCAGTTGTGCTTTGTTTTGGTTCAAGGGGGATGTATGTATGTATGTATGCATTTATGTTAAAGATTTTTACTTTGGGTTTGGTTTGTTCTCAGTGGTGGACGATCCTGTGGTTGACGTTTGGCTTGACTCCACCTTTCGGAGTCTTTTTGCAGTGGTGAATGTCGAAAATCTTTGTCTGTTTTTACATCATTCATTGATGTTCTCTTTTTTTGCTTGATTACGTATATGAGCCAATCTATTCCTGGAGCTGCTCTATCCTTCATTTGGTTGTGGGGGTTTTACTAAGTGTTTCTTTATTTTTGGTAAATACTGAGCAAGTTGGCATCATAGTGATGTTTCGAAGCTTTAATTTTTGGTTCATGTTCAGCTTCCTTAGGGTGGGGTTTAGAGTTCAGGCACTTAATCTGAGCTTTTAAGTTATAGTAGTTCTGGTTCATTTTCAACTTTTGAGATCATCTTTGTTCCATGTTCCAAATTTTCCTTTAGATATTCAATTCTGGCATGTCCTTTTTTTTTTTTTTTCTGTTTATATATATCGGGATTAATAATTTCTGGTTTTAGTTTATTTTCAGAAGTTTGCTATTGGTTTCCAATTCTCAGTAGGCTTGTGCATGGATTTCAACAACTGGGTTAGACTTAGGACTCATTTCCTGTAAAATAAAATTGATACGGTTTAGGCTTTTGAAGTTGAGTTTCTGTGGGCATCAATCCAGCGGATGCTGAGAAAGCTTTAAATACTTAGTGATAACTAGAGGATTATATTGATTCAGCATGGAAATGACTTCAAGAGCGGAGATTGATGAAGATATTGACAACAACAAGGGAAGCATGTGGGTTTTGGATCAGAAGCTTGATCAACCAATGGATGAGGAGGCCGGGAGGCTCAAAGACATGTATAGGGAGAAGGTTATTTTCCACTTTGAGTTCCTCTCTTTATGCCTTAGTTTTCTATATATACTATTTCTTTTGTAATTAATTGAAATAAAGTAGCTGTTGATTCAAGCTAATGAAACATTGACTTGTTAGGGTAACTGATTTAAAAGCCTTTCTTTGAATCAAATTGAAATTTCCAACAGGCATGGAGTTCCTTAAATATTTCTCTGCCTTCTGTTTCATCATTTGGATATTAGGTATAATATGGCTTCAGGATTGCATCTGTTGATAGTACTCTCAGACTGATTATCTGATATTAGATATATGCAGTATAGCATGTATGAAACCCAATTTTCATTAAATAAATGGATTTTGATGATATTTTATATATATATATATATATATATTTTTTTTTTTTTATTTGGATCAGTTGTAGTTTCTGATACGGTTTCAATTCCTATAGAAATCCTCCGCATTACTGCTTCTTCAGCTTGCATTCCAAAGTCTTGGAGTGGTTTATGGTGACTTGGGCACTTCTCCCTTATATGTTTTCTACAATACATTTCCTGATAAAATTCAAGACCCAGAGGATGTTGTTGGAGCTCTTTCATTGATTATATACTCACTTACTCTTATCCCGCTCCTCAAGTATGTGTTTATTGTGTGTAAAGCAAATGACAACGGTCGAGGTGAGTTGATATTAATGCATGAGGTTACTTATGTTACTTATTTAATCTGAGACTCGTGAATTTGATAAAGAAAATGCTTCTCAATGCATCACAGCGTGCAGACCCATAGGCTTGAATAATTATTGTCTTTTTCTGCTGGTTATGAGGCACTATTGGAATCAAAATCATCCTAATTTGTCATGCAGGTGGAACATTTGCTCTATATTCGTTGCTTTGTAGACATGCAAATATAAAAACCATCCCTAATCAACACAGGACTGATGAGGAGCTAACAACTTATAGTCGTTCTACGTTTCATGAAAAAACATTTGCTGCTAAAACAAAGAGATGGTTGGAGAGACATGTATCCAGGAAGAATGCGCTTCTCATTCTTGTCCTTGTTGGTACATGCATGGTCATTGGTGATGGAATACTCACTCCGGCAATATCAGGTATTTTGCTTATTTATATATATGTATATATATATATATATATATATATATATATATACACACACACACACGTGCGCGCGTGCGCGTATGTGTGTTGTCATGCTTGCATTCCAAAGACTGGATAGAAGGATCAAGCTGCCTGACCACTCTTTGTTAGCTTCTTCCTGTTTGTTTATGCTCAAGTGTAACTAGAAAAAAAAAATGACATGTACATAATACAGGTACTTGAGAAATGTATGCTTATTTTGTGACCCTGTTCTTATCAGAAAGTCAATGGAATTTTTGTTCCCTATTATTGTAGCTGTTCAATTATTCTTCATTGGTAGTATATTAAGATCTTCCTATACCCTGAAATCTGAAATAGGCTTGTCCAATGGTCACACTCATTAGCTGAAAATTTACTTATCCACTTGATTTATTACTTATTAGTGGTACCAATTAAAGAATAGGTGGAATAAATATATTTCAAAACTTCAGTCTGTCAATGTCTTCATCATGGTTGATATTTAAAACTTTGTACTTAGAATAGGTGAGCTTTTCGGAGGTTTACATATGACATTCTGGTGGAGTGAAAATGAACTTGGAGTCTCTTGTCTGCTATGCTCGTAAAATGGGATTGTATTTAAAATCGAAGGATAGCTCATAGTTTAATAAATGCAGATTGCAAAAAGGTAATGAAGGAGTCCTATACTTATGTCTGATAAATATTTGGAGACCATATGCATTTGACATGAGCAAGTTGTTCATAGAGAACTGTGAAATTGCGCACACACCTTCTAAACTCATCCTCACTGTTCCCAATCAAAATTCTTGAAAATTGCAGTTTTCCATCAATCTTGGAAACATTTGCATCTATACCTATGGCTAAATCCTGACACTTGGAAGACTTGCTCAGCGAGGCTACCATACCTATAAAGCTGAGAAAAAGTATACATTCCATCTTTCATTAACTGTCTGCTTGAAATGACAGAGCCTTTATCATTTATTGCCAGTGCTTTTTTCTCAGTATTAAATCTTTACCAATTTACTTATTAATGGAAGTTGTGTAATATATTGTTGGTATGCTAATATCAGTACACTCCTTTTACTTCTTACTGAAGTGATGCCTGCTATCTTTGGCAGTTCTTTCAGCTGCTGGGGGCATCAAAGTAGATAATCCACACGCGAGCAGTGGTATCTTTGTACTCTCCCTTAAACATTATTTATTCTTTGCAGCTCATGTTTGAACTCTTTCTATAACGTTTGGTCACCTTTCTATAAGGTCTGTACTTATTTTCTTTCCCAATATGCAGGTGTTGTTGTGGTTGTCGCTGTTGTGATATTAGTATGTTTATTTATCATGCAACACTATGGTACAGATAGAGTTAGCTATCTCTTTGCCCCAATTGTGCTTCTTTGGTTTCTCGTAATTGGAGGCATTGGCATATTTAACATTTGGAAATATGACAGCAGTGTTTTGAAAGCATTTTCACCTCTATACATATACCGATATTTTAAGAGGGGAAGGAAAGTTGCATGGACCTCCCTTCGGGGTATTATGCTTAGTATCACTGGTAAACTTATTGTCAATTTTGATATCCCAACTATTTTCTTTAAATATCAATTTAAAGTTCACTAAACTTGCACTGAAACTGGTGATGTGATTAATGGATCGTTACAGGTACTGAGGCGCTTTTTGCAGATCTAGCGCATTTTCCAGTTTCAGCTGTGCAGATTGCTTTTACTGTGGTTGTATTTCCTTGCCTTATCCTAGCGTATTCTGGACAAGCTGCCTACCTCATGGATCACGGGGACCATGTGGTTGATGCATTTTATCGCTCTATCCCAGGTTTGATCTTATATCTATTTTATTGTCATTATAATCCTCTCTGATATGTAATGATGTCATTTTAGGCTTCTATATAAGTGCAAGCTTCTTCTCTCAAATGCTCTTGGTACTTCGTTGTCCCATTTAATGTGGTAAGTGTCTATTTGCAGATTCTGATCGTTTGTTATCATGCAGATAAAATATATTGGCCTGTTTTCGTTATTGCTACTGCTGCTGCTATAGTTGCGAGTCAGGCCACCATATCAGCAACCTTTTCAATTATCAAGCAAGCGCTTGCACTGGGTTGTTTTCCAAGAGTGAAGGTTGTACATACGTCGAAGAATTTCCTTGACCAGATATATGTTCCTGATATTAATTGGATCCTTATGGTCCTTTGCATTGCTGTTACTGCTGGATTCGAGAACCAAAGTCAAATTGCAAATGCTTATGGTAAGTTTATCCTTAATGTTATCATAGTTTCTTAATGCATCTTATATTGTAGTGAAAATTTGTCCAATGGAAAACACTGCATTCCAAAATATGTCTTAAGTCATACAAGATTTGGAGTAGAAAATTTTCTTCATGTGCGTCTGCGAATAAGCCTAGTTTTCTTTTTGGGGGGAGGGGGGGTGTTGTAATTTGTAGAATCATTTGTTGTTTTGAAAAATATACTATGTACCCTTTGGGTTCCTGCTTCAACTGATCATGGTACCATTTCAATCATTAATTGTACCTTGTAGCTAAGAAACAAGTTGCACTGAATAGCATCATAATTACGTTACTGCGCAGGGACAGCTGTGGCGACAGTCATGCTGGTAACCACTTTACTTATGACTTTAATAATGATTTTGGTGTGGCGCTGTCATTGGATTCTTGTCTTTCTCTTCACTAGCTTGTCCTTGGTTGTAGAGGGCACATACTTTTCTGCTGTACTCTTCAAGGTTGATCAAGGCGGATGGGTTCCCCTTGTAATTGCAGCAGTCTTTTTGCTCATCATGTATGTTTGGCATTATGGTACAGTGAAGCGATATGAGTTTGAGATGCACAGTAAGGTTTCAATGGCGTGGATTCTTGGGCTTGGCCCTAGTTTAGGACTAGTCCGGGTTCCTGGAATTGGACTAGTGTACACTGAGCTAGCAAATGGCGTTCCCCGCATATTTTCCCATTTCATCACCAACCTACCAGCCGTCCATTCTGTTCTTGTTTTCGTCTGTGTGAAGTACCTTCCTGTCTACACTGTTCCAGAAGAAGAAAGGTTCCTTGTAAAGCGGATTGGACCGAAGAATTTACGCATGTTTCGTTGCGTTGCTAGGTATGGCTACAAAGACCTTCGTAAGAAAGATGATGATTTTGAGAAAAAGCTGTTCGATAGCCTCTTCTTATTTATCGGGCTGGAGTCAATGATGGAAGGGTGTTCAGATTCAGATGAATATAGCAGCTCGTATGACCAGCATAGTGGCAACATCACTTCCTCCAATATTGATACCGCAATGTCACATGTGGATTCAATAGTGCCAGTCAGATCATCTGGCCAAGTAAGAAGCCAGACTGAGAGTGATGAGTTGGAATTTTTGAATAGCTGTAGGGATGCTGGGGTGGTGCACATTCTGGGTAATACAATGGTGAGGGCAAGAGGGGATGCAAATTTTTTCAAGAAAATAGCCGTTGATTATGTATATGCATTTCTCAGGAAGATATGTAGAGAGAATAGTGTGATTTTGAATGTTCCTCGTGAGAGCCTGTTGAACGTAGGACAGATTTTTTACGTATGAGGATTTTGCTGCATTCATGCCGAAAACTATCATAAATAAATAAACAAATAGTAAATTTACTTTTCATTCTTTTTCCACCTTAGGCTCAGCGGTCGATAGCTATTCTGACAAACCAAAAACACTTTGCATTAACTTTATTCACAAGGACCAAAACAGAGCTTGTGTCCACTATTGGGTATTGACACAAATAAGAGCTTTACATACAAACAAATTTTTTTAGTCTCTCAAAACACAATCATATCTCACCCTCTCGATGGGAGCTCCTCCTCCCTTTCTCATATAATACATAAAATGTTTATGGAGTAAAAGAAAATATCATTGATGAGGGCATCAAAATAAGGGAATCATTGAGGGCCTTCACTTTGATGCTTGGTTCTGTGGCTGATGACCTTGTGTTTTTGTCTGGCATGCTGAGGACATGATACGTAAGCGTCTAGCAATCTCTGTGAATGATGGTCGAACAACAGGATCCGGAGCCCAACACTGCTCCATTAATAACTTCCATTCAGGGTCACAGTAGCTTGGTACAGGTGGCCTCAATGTATTGCTAACAATGCCTCCTGCATAGAAATGAGGTAATCAAACTACACACCACCACGTCAACATATTCAATTCACCATGAACGGGCAGGAATATGTGTTCGAATAAACTGTCCATGATTAGTTTACATGGACCGACACCAGACAGTAAATGGATGTGAAATGGACAAAATAGACACTACCAGTATGAGAAATATTTTAATTTAACAGACAAGAAATTATACGAAAAATAGAAACTTTAAACAAGCAACAATATCAAGGAAACAATGGCAAGGGACCCTTCAGCAGAATGGAAAAGAAATGATACTAGCAGTCCAGCGCAATACCCATCTCACAAAGTAAAAGCACATGTCGCACTAAAGAAATAGTGAGAGATTTCACACCTATTATTGCTCCATAATGCATATTAGCATAAGGTTCCTCACCAGTAAGAATCTCCCACAGGACAATGCCAAATGAGAACACATCAACCTGCAAATAAAAAAACCAAGGTAAGCAATACGTGCATAAATACCATTTGTGCTTTTGCTTGGGTGGTCATGGAGGTGAATTTTTAAGAAGAAACCTAGATTTGAGCCATGGAGCTATCTTGCACTTTTATAAAAATAAAAATGCACAAACAAATTGTTGGAGATTGAGATTGACAAAATAAGATATTAGGTATGACAAAAGTGCACAGCAAACAAGTCCTAACATCCCATCTAATTACATAGACAATGAAAAACACACAACTTGAGCCAGTAATTTCCACTTCACTGTATAGACAATGAAGAGTAGATAACTTGCTTAAAACCAACATGTGCTTAAATACCATCCAAAATAATGTGAGAAACAGAACCACCAAGAGGCAATCCCTTCTATTAAGCATAATAAATTTGTTTCCAGCAGATGCTGGATTGTTGTAAAGCTACATATGAACTATGATCTAAACAAACTTTACCCAAGCTCCAATAGTCGTCTTACCTTTTCAGAAACCTTACTACTGCTTCCATTCAACAGCTCTGGGGCCATCCATGGAAGAGTTCCCCTGACACCACCAGTAACCAAGGTATTCCTTTTTATCTTTGACAACCCAAAGTCCCCAACCTGCACAGACAACATCATCTTTATTTAAACTTTGGTTTGACTGGAAATCAATATCTACCTACCAATCAAGAACAAAGAGATGGATAATTGGATCAGCCACATAAAACATAAATTTGAACATTTATATATAAAAATTACACAAATTACCTTGCAAATTGGCCGCACAGAGTCTTTCAAGTTGACAAGCAAGTTGTCACATTTTAAATCAAAATGAACAATGTTCTTTGAATGTAAATATTCCATCCCAAATGCAGCATCCATGGCAATAATGAGCCGCTTACGACGATCAAGTTGCCTGCACAGTTACAAAACTTATAAAGTGAATAAACAAATAAAACAGGAGGAAATTCTCTGGAGTGATGAAAGTAGCATATTCTACTATAAATAAAAATATTACCTGTCTTTGCTAAGCAAAACATGTCTAAGAGAGCCATTCACCATGTACTCTGTGACAGTGGCTAGTGTTCCTCCAGGTCCATCGTGCACCACGCCATAAAATGCCACAACATTGGGGTGGTGAAGCTTTGAAAGAATGTCAGCTTCACGCCAGAACTCCACAGTCTGGAAAATATTTAGTGCTGATTGTTATTATTGGCATGGGATGAAGGATAAAAAGTATCAATCTCCATTGATGATGCACAAAATGCAAAGATTTTCAAGTCTATTTAACTCTCTGTATGCTTGGTCATCAAATATCCTGGATGGAAAACTTACCAATCTTTCTTGCTCGGATGAACGACCGGTGAAACAGCTCTTTTTTATCCGCTTGATGGCAACATCTGTTCCTCTCCATTTTCCATGGTAGACGGTCCCAAATGTACCAGAACCCAGCTCCTTTAGCTCTTCCAAATCTTCGTTTTTAATGATCTGCCATGACATTTGATGAAATTAACCAACATGGAGTTAAAAATAGTGGCTACATCAGTTGAATAATCTTGGGATAAGAAGCAAAAGATGCAGAATAATTCAATCTAACGGCATCGTGAATAACATTTTTCACTGGATTTCTATTAAATTCACCAGCATAAATTGAGATGAGGAGGTAATAGAAGCAGATATCACAGTGACATATACTGTCTGAGGTGATGTACTTGGCCGCATGCTAGCTTAGATAAGGTAATAAAGATGTTTTTATTGTAAAAGATATGCCTATAACCAGTGTTTAACATCTATGGAGCAATCATTAGCAGTTGCTTTGGTGCAATTGACAATGAAGTTTGAAAATGGTAGTGATGGCTGGCTATGGCATTGTAATGCCGCTGACTGAACAAAACCTTCTATTGAAGACTTAAGCATAAACATATATGAATAAAATCTGGCTAAGCTTCATTGCGGACAGAAATTTTAGAAAATGAAAAGCAAATGAACATTCATCAACTCTTTCTGAATGGAGATATCTATAGATAACAGTGGATGCAAGAAATACCTGCAATGTACTGATATCAACGTCTCCATGGGACAAATCCACAAGGGGTACACCAGAATTCTAAATATCCAATTTCCCATCCATGAAAATACAGAAAAATTAGAAAGCAGGGGAAAATGCAAGCAGTATCTTCACAAGCTAAGGGATATTAATCAAAACCAACTGGCACTAGTACCTCATACTCTGATTCAGGTACCTTGTGGTTTGGCCCATCTCGTCCACTTTCATCACCCTTAAGTGGAGACTTCTTGTAACCTGTACCTAAATCCAAGTTGTTAGCAGCAGTAACAGTAGTTGACTCCTGCCTGATGTCCTCACCAAAATTGATGTCTGGCTTAATATGACCTAAGGCAACTGCACCAGAAGATTTCAGAGGTGGATAGCTGTAATCAATTGGCACCCCACCTTCCATATTTGTAAGTGGAGAGGAGAAACCCAAATGGTCCTGATCCATGAGGGAAACATCCTTTCTACTAAACTCATCTTGAGCTAAATTAAGGAAGTATGACCAATGCTTGGGTTCATGATTCTCCATGTTTAAGCTCAATCCAGCTCCATCACCAGGGAATGGACCGATACCATAGACATTCTGGGACATTCTTACTTTTGAGAATAAATCAGACAAAAGATCACGAGGAAACCGATCATTAATATCAATAAGTATGTCTCCATGCTCTGAGGTGACTTCAGAAGCAGTGGGCTGCACATTGGAAGTTGTTCTAATTGGGTTCTCCGCCCGCAGCAAAGATTGTTCATGCCCCTTACTATGATTTCCAGCGTTCTTGCTTTCATCCTTCTCAATTCGTTCAAAATCAGATGGCCTAAAAGAAGGATCTTCAAAGTGCTCAACAGAAGTTCCTTGACTTGCTGTGGGAGGATTCAGCTCAGCTGCTTTTTCATCAGCACCACTCTTAACTATGACTTTTTTCAATTCAGATTTCTGCTTAGTTGACTCAAGCACCTCCTCATGAATATTCGAGCTGATTTTATCGGCAGATTCGTTGTACTTTTCAAATTGTGCAAGCCCATCCATAACAGTCTGAGGATTTGCAGTGGATTTGCAGTGACATACTGATCAGCTTGGGGAGCCAAATTCCCATCTTGAATCTTGTCAACTGATTCTGCAATCAATTGGGAAGAACCAGAACATGCTTGAGTCATTAGAAACTGAGACCCAAAAGAATCATCAGACTTTGATAAACGGTTCATTTCTGCCTGCTCCCTGGGGATTCTCTCTGAATAAAAAACTCGCTGAGGAATCACAGATGGCTCAGGGCAGCTAAAGTCACTTGGATCTGCCTCTGATCCACCACCTCCAGATGTAGAAGGCCCACCAGATGTGTAAAAGCGATCATCTTCAATGTTCTTTCTCCCATCAGTTACAACTTCAGGGACCACCAAATTCTGAACAGCTTCCTGGATCTTTTTGAAATTTTTTGTGGGCAACAAAGGTGAGCCAACATCTGGCACTGAAATGGTAACCGAAGCTTCCTGTTTAGAAATATGATTTGCAACAGAACTGTCATATGCATTTGAAGGGTTACTGTACTCTTTCACTGACATGCGAATGTTTTCAGTTTCATTGATCTTCGGGAGAGATGCATCTCTTTTCATTTTTGGCTCCTTTGTTGAGGGAGCTTTGTCTAGGTATCGAACTTTTTCAGGTTCAGTTACTTTTGAGGCTGAGCTATCTCTTTTTAGCTTAACCTCTTTTATAGATACTTCTGGATCTGGCACTTTAAAGCCCATATGCATCTTCTCATCAGCTAAACCTGTCTGGGGTGTCACATATCCAGGGAATGGCATTGAGACTAAATTTTCTCCAGTCATCACATGGTTAGAGGGTTGGGAGCCATAACCGTATTGCAATGGAGCAGACAAAAGAAAATTACTCTTCCCATCTACCTGGGGAATGGAGGACAGCTGCTGGCTACCTTCTCCATGACGCACTTTTTGTTCTGAATATGGCTCCGAATTAGATTCATAAGTGCTAGATGAACCTGACAACACTGGTTGAGAAGAGGTTGGTGAAGGCACATGAGAAGACTGGACAGTTTGTGAAGGTGCATGAGAATATTTGACTGTTGGTGAAGGTGCATTAACTGTCAAAGAAGCAGTACTAGTAGCAGCTGCTTCAATCACAGTCCGACCAGCCTCCCTTACAGCATTCAAACCAAGTAACTCATCCAGATTGTTTTCTGACGCACTTGCTGCAATTGAGTTTTTTCTTGATCCTAGATCCATGCCATTCACAGCAACAACATATTGTATCTCAGAATCACCCTCTATGCTTCCCAAACCATACTGAGCATCTTCCAGATCACTACTAGAGAAAAGGAATATCCTGGGTTTCTGTGATCCTCCATCTTCTAGCACATTACATTCCTCCATCATGTTTTGCAGATCCTCATCACAAGATACAGAGACCAAAGCATCAAGTTCCTCCCCAGGCAACTGATACTTTATTGTATGGGCTTGGTTGTAAATTGCCAAGGTTTTCTGAACAAGCTCTTGCCAGGAAATATCCCTGCTTAATTGGATGATACGTGTTTCCCCCCCAACATATCTAAGTTTTGCATCACTGGGACGTGGTAAAATTTTACCACCAAAGCTGCAGAGGAACTTCACCTTAGTTGATAAGCTAAGAGAAGCAGTTGAAGACACATAACCTTGATGTCCCTGACTCATTTCATTTCTTGAAGAGGATAGAGGTACTGATCGCATGGAATCATAAAAGCTTTTGTCTTCATGTACAGGAGGGGTCTTTCTGTCAAAATCCTGGGGACGGGGTTTTTCTACTGTGTTAAGCAAAGGGATCTCAGAGCCATTTTCAGAACCTGTATGGGAAATTCCCAAAATACCCTTTAGATCCTTATAGACAGGTCCACTGTTAGGATCACCATAAGCATTCTGAATAAAATGTTGTCTAGGATTGACCCTTTCCCACATAAATTCCAGAGAAAACTCCTCACCTGTCTGAATGGAGTAATTCAGTACTGGTCTAGCTCCCATCAAAATATTATAATCAGGAGGTCGGATGTTAGTATTAATATTACTAGATGGATCATGGAAAAATCTTTGGTTTGCAAACCCGAGAGTCTCATTTCTAGCTTCCATATTATTGTATCGGACTTGTTCATAGTTCTTCTGTTGATCCATTATGCCTTTTCCTAGATTTCACTCCATTTAGATAAAATTTTCCAGGAAAATAAACCAAGGAAATATGCCATGATTATCACACCAGTGCAATATCAGCACATGCATTCTGCCATAGCCAACAGCAAAGTTTTCCAAAGAACTTAACCTGAACCTGAAAGATTGTATCAGCATTCATCATTAATTAAAATTAGTGATTGAGAGATGAGCACCCAACTCAATTCAATCGTTAGAAAATCAATAACATCCTCCAAAGAAAAAAAATCCAACTTTTATACAGAATAAATAGCTCTCCCATTTCCATTGCAAAAGATAAAATTATTGAGATGACAATGTCTATAACCAGCTAGTTATGTTCATTAAAAGAAAGAAACTATGAAATTAAGTCACAATAACCTCAAAGCAATGGTCAATCAACCAATGCATTCTTATATTCATGTAAATAAATAAAATTAAGTGCAAATCCACCATCTGTAAACAGCACCAATATTAATGAAGATAAAAATACCCCTAGAGGGAGATAAGGCTAAGCAGAGTGAAATGGGCTTTCCATGAAACGGTAAATGAAAACTGTTAGCAGAAGAATTATCACAATCACTTTTGGGAAGAGGGTAACACTGGTACTCAAATCATACCATATATTTAGCATACAAACCACAGATTAAAGCTACAACCACGTAAGAAAATTTTGTAAAGTTTTTTTTTTCTTTTGTTCTCTCATCGTTAAACCCATTCCAGTAAAGCATATATGCAACTAGAATACAGATTTGAAGCTGCAATACACATTTCATTGATACATTTGGGCCTTTTTGGGCCAAAGATACAGAAAGAAGTGAAGATACAATGTACTACATATAATTCCCATGTAAATCTAGACGTCTAAACATGATTTCTCAATAACGCTCCAAATTCCAGCAAAGGAAACGGTGTGCACACCAAACATTCCCTAGAAGTGCTTAAATCAATCCCATAAAGCGTGCTCGTAAACCAAGATCAATCCAATTTGAATACCGATTTACTAAATCCGTGATAAAAAAATTAGTTATAAGATTGAAATAGTAACATGGAAATCAAATAGTTAAAATCGCATTGCAGTGAGAGTATGCGGCCTAATCAAACCCATAAGAAACAAATTATGTAAAATTACAAAAATCGAGCTCAAAATCTAATCCTAGTCACTCCAAAACAGTATTAAACGAACTGAAAAAAGAGAGAGATGGACAGTAAACGTCGGTATAAATAAAACCCTAAATTCAGCATAAATATAATAAAATTGAAACCTAAAATTGAATCAGAAAGAAACGCATAACCAAATTAAAGGTCCTAATCATTATTTTAACCTAACACTAATTAGTAAAAACGAAAAAAAAAAAAAAAAAAGGGAAACAAAGATAGTAATTTACCCGAAAAAAAAAGGAAAAGAACGCAAGGAGGAGTAAACTTTTGAGCAAGAAAGCAGAAGATTATTGACTTTCTCTCTCTATAAATTCGCTTATTTTCGGTCCAAAATAGGGAAAGGCATCTCTCTGTTTTTCCTTTTACGATTTTGATTTTCTTTTCTAGTGTAGATTTTTTAATAACTTTTTAAAACTAATTTCCGAGTAATGTATTCTGTTTTTTTCTCTTTTTTACGACTTTTTATTTGCTTCTTCAATTTTGTTTTTATTTTTATTTTTATTTGCGTAAAAACGCTGGAATTTTATTGTGGGGTAGTTGGTTAGCCCCGACGCATGAAGTGAGCGCGTATATAGCACGGAACAGTCATTGTGCGTTTTGTTCCAGGTAGTTTGTGGGTCCCTTGATTCCTTGCTTGACGGGACGTTTGTGAGTTGGTGAGATTGATTGGTGATTGGTGTGCGAGTGCGGATGGAGATGGAAGAGAAAGCACGTGCCTTTGACTCTTTGCTTTATGGGCTAATTTCAGTGGGCTTTCCTTCAGACAGTTCCTAGTTCCAACGTTAAAAATCCAGTGGGCCACCACCCATAGCAAAGGTTTAAAAATATACGCATGTATATATTTATTTGATAGTTAATCAACATTAAGAAAGTGGAAATCTTATTTATTTACCACATTACTTATTATAATAAAATGAAATAGAATAAAACCATACTAACCCTGTTTTGATAAAACAATTTCTGCTACAGCCCTCAAGTCTTTCATCTATATTCAGATTCATAGAATAGATGCAATTTAGTGAGATATTTGAACCTTTTTTAAGAAAGATGGAAGCGAAAAACCCTGTAATAACTCTTTCACTTCTCCTATTTGAATTTAAGTTTATAACCTGCTTGTAAAATGTGACAAATCTTGAAGCAACAAATATGCTATTTATCCATAACATCTAACAAAGATAAACAGGAAATCGATTGTTGGAATGCTTGTTTGTATTTTGAAAATTTATAGTATGAAACAACAATGAACAATTATCCATTTAATAAACACAATGAACTTCTCGATAGGGACATCTACCCAAATGTCAGTTTTTTTAGAAAAGTATATTTCAATACTTACAGTAATAGTTTTTCATATGCATAGAACTTTAAAATTCTGCATCACCTTTTTTTTATGATAATTCCAAATACTTATTTATCGTATCAATTTTTTTTTAATAAATACTTCGTTTTAAAATAAAAAGATTCAGTGTTTTTTTTTGTATCATACTGAAACTCAATTAAAAAATAATAATAATAAATAATATTCAACTTTATACAACTATTTACCTCTCGTATCAAGTTCATAAATAGTACATGTGATTGAGTTTGTCCATTAAATTTGTTACAAAATGGATGGAAGTTTAGAAAATCTTAAAGCTGTAGGTATTTTGTATGGTAATCTCCTGTTTATCAGTATAGGTGAAGTGGCATTTATTTCTTCAATGCCTAATATAAAATGTTTTTCTAAAGGGGTGATTAATTTGTTCAACTAGCACTTACAAAGGATATATGCCTCTCACTCCTCTTCCATCTACCAGATTGGTAGCAAAGAGATTTGGCTATAAAGAAGATAGAAGACTATAATAGAAAGTTAATATCCATGCTATGCTTTAAATAAGAGATTTACGAAGGATATAAAAAACACGTGAACAACTTACATTAAAAAGAAATAGAGTAAGACCAAAAATAAATAAGTAAACTTGGCCAGTTCACAGGAAACAAACATGAATCTTATAGCTACAATGTGAAAGCAAAGGAAAAACAATTAAATTATAATTTTTTACTTTAAATTTTAAAAAATAAATAAAAATAAAACATTTGCAAGCCACTCTTTATTGCTTCAATTTAATCGCAGGGGATTCTAGACCCATTTATGGTTTAAGCTTCTTATCAGTTGGGATGGTGTACCAATGAGATGCCCAACTAATAGAAATAGAAGGGCACCTTGGATAAAATGGCTAGAAAACGAAACAAAAAATATATATATATATATATCACATAAGAAAAACAGAGATACAAAAACATGAAACTAAATAAAATAAAAAACAATTAAAACGCAAGTAAAACAGAAACAAAGACCAACGCCATAAGAGACCACCAATGCCGATCGGTGCTCAAAACCATTTAATTTGGACAGTGACCACCAGATTGGTCGAAAGACCAGAGGCCTATTCTCTCTCTTTCTCCATAAGGCATAATAACCATCAACCAGAAGCAGTGTAAAAATTTGAAGACAGCTTGTGCCAGCAAGTGATTCTGTCTTGCTCAACTTCTTTCGTCTCCTCCTTTTCCTTTCTCGGTTCTTTCTGTTTCTTTTTTTTCCGTTTTCTCTCAAATCTTCTTTCCAATTTTGCACATTTTTCTTTTAACTGAGGAATAAAAAATGAGTTATTATTAAAAAAAACTTTTATTGTAGCCTAATAATTGAGTGATAAATGTCACTTAATTAAACCTCAACAGACGTCATCAGCATGAATGCTAATCGGAGAAGACTATTATATACTTATTATATTTATAGTTATAGATTTAAGTTGCGACTCAATAGCCTAACCAGTTGCAATCCATTGTTACGTGATCCACGCAAAGCAATTGCTTTCCCGGGTGTTGCGCCCAAACGACATTAAGAGCTTTTGTTTACTATATACGTTCATTAAGATAATCTACCATATATACATATATCTACTGTAATCGATGATCGATCATGTGTTCAACATGATATTTTAAAAGGCAACCTCTATGGTAGGGAGGGAAACAGCTATTTAGGGTACTAAGTGCTTCTTTTTCGATCAATTTGCTGCCAAGCCTAAGTTGCAGGGGAGGGATGTTGCGTTTCTCGGTTTGTTTCATTTTGCAGCTTTTCTACATTTGCCTTTGTTTCTAGCAACGTACCGAAATGTAACTAGGATAAGCAAACAATATTTTAATTCCATACAATATCAATAAATTATATGACCAATTAATCATGTAAAAAAAATCAAAGATATTAGGATTTCAAGTTTTGCATGTAGTGCAAAGTGAAGCAAAAACACTTGCTATATTCTTTTTGTATATATGTGTTTGACGACGTTAAGGAAAAAAAAATTTATCCATGTGAGACCACTTGGATCTTGATGATAAATAAACTATAATAATCTGTTAATACAAAATGTTAAATTTGATGATTGATTATCATAAAAGTTTTAAGTCGATAAAAATGATCAAATTATATAAATTAAGAAAGATATCTAATGCTAATTTTCCATTCACAAATTTAAAATAAAAATTCCGTTATTTTCGTTCTTTTTATGTTCGTTTTTACCGTTATTGTTGATTAATATGACGTTAAACTAATAATAATAAGTAATGAAATCAAAAGGATAATGGAGTTGGTCGAGAAAAGCTCAAACAAATAAAACACAAGTAACAACAACTCGAGAAAAAAAAAAGTGAAAAAGATTAAAGAAAAAAGGCATAATAAGAGACGGAGAATATAATAAGAGCTTTCCTTCCATCAATTCGAGGCAGCCATCTAATCCAACCAAGCAAAGGCAATGGATGGCGGCGACACATTAGAGAAAGGAATGCGAGTTTCTTCTCCTTGGCCTGGGGAGAAGAGAAAAGAAATTAAAATAGAACGAAAGGGCAACAAAAGGGGAGGTGGCGTCTGAATAAGCCACGTGGCAAGGCACCAGTGGTTTGGTAGGAGAGAGACGGAGAGAAAGAGAGAGAGGGGAGCTAACTTTCCCTTTCCCTTTCTCTCTCATGCGCTGCCATGTCAGAGTGGTAACCCCGTCCCTATGACCCCGGCGTATCCGCATCGTATGCTCTCTTTCTTTCTCTATAAAACCTCAATCCCTCTCTCTGAAAAAACACTCTATATCAATAAATCTCTTTCTTTTGGTTTCTTTATTTCTTTCTTTTTTTAATTTTATTTTCAATTTGCTCTACATTTATTCAATTTTTTTAGTGTCTTCTCTGTTTCTCTCTTCTCTTCCTTTTCTTTGCTTGCTATATACCCTAATACCACCTCTCTCTCCTTCTCTATCTGTCTATATTCACTACATCTCTTAATCTGTTAGTCTTGATGTTAATTCTTTGATCCACAAGAAAGATTGGTAAGCTTCTTTTCCATTGTTTATTTACTTTTTTTTTGGCTTGGATTTTCTAATTTAGGTATTTTGAGCCGTCTATTTTGTCTATTCTGATGTTTTGTTGAATGTGCTGTTTCATGTTGGAATGTTTGTGTTTGATTGAAATTTAGTGGTTTGTGGAGTGATTTGGGAATTAGGTTTCTGTGAATAAGTTTGTAGGAGAGTTTTGTTGAAATGAGGTTTTGAGTTCAATGTGAGCTGGATGTACTATACATGGATTGAGTTTTTGAATGTGATTGTTCAATTTTGTTCGTTTTTGTGTTAATTTGCATAGCAGATGATCAATTGTTTAGTTTAGATGCTTCAAGCATAGCCCTTAGTTGTTACATTTCCCAAAGCTGTTTTAATTTACTGCTGGGATTTAGGCTTGTATTCGGCCCCTGTTGCTGATTCAGTCGAGTGTTTAGAATGTGTGGAACCGCCGTCAATGCTGTTTCCTATTTTCTTTTCTTCATTTTCATTCCATGGATAATGCCTTGTTTAAACTTTCGTTGATTCTGCTCCCATCTTATCATGAAACTCCATTGCTGCTTCTGCTTTATGTAGAGTATGGAGTTGGACTTCGGTTTGACTATTGTGTTCACTTTTGAGCAAAACCTTATTAGTTTGCTTTTGCCTAATCCTGTGGATTCTAGTTTAATTAATTTGTTGATCTTGGGTTATCGACTTTGACATTTTAGAAACCAAATTTATACACTGAGAATAATGTGCAATTAGATGTTGACTATTTGATTAGCAGCAATTTAAAGTTGGTTGCAAAATGACAATTTCTAATCGAAAGTTGAGTTTGAGATCCTGTTTTGAAATGGGAATCAAATGATAAATTCAATCTCATGAGTTTATGCTTTAATAAGTTCAATATAATTCCACCTTCCTTCCACCTTTTTTTTTTTTTAAGTAAACAAAGCTTTATGTTCTTTCCTCAAATGCTTTCAACGTATGCATGCTCAATTTTCTTTGGCCTAATAAAACCATTGTTGCTGGTAGCTGCTGTTCTTTCTAATAACGAGTTATATTGCTGAAAATGTAGGAATTCTACCTTGAGTCTTGTAGCAGGTAAGATTGCGGGTTTGAAGCTTCATTGCTCTGGCAGTGATTCAAGACATGTTTTCTGTTGTTCCCATCCACAATGTAAGAACCCATGATTAAAAAAAGATGAAGGATACCATTTCATCAAATAATAAAATGATTAATCGAAACTGGGTCTTGAAGCGCAAACGAAGAAAGCTTCCATGTGGACCATCCTTATCTAATGGTAAAGAAGAGAACTTAGTAGCGTCAGAATCTCCAAGGAGTACTTCAGCTAAGCGTAGGCTGAAAGGCGAAATAAGCTCTGATCAGTTGTCATCTAAAAAGAAAGGAAATGATGGGGTATGTTGTCTTTTTTTCTTGCTCCATCATTTATTAGTTTCCCTCATTGCAATGTAGTTTTATTTTCTTATATGATGTGGCTGTTAGTTGTATTTGTGGATGGTTGATATGCTACACACACAATCTCCTGATTTCCTTTTTTTCTGCACAATGTTGTTGTCAATATGTTTAAATTTTACTTAAGTTTTGATTGATTAAATGTTGTGAATTTAACTAGGTGTTTAACAACTATCATAATCTCCATGCCAGAAGTGAAATATTGAACCATGCATGCTGCAATTCAGTGTCAATTTTCACCCAAGTTAAGAGTTAACATGCTCAGAATAGGAGTTATTGGTGTAATTGAGTTTTCATCATTTTTTTTTCTCTGTGATATGCTCAGTTGTCTTCTTGTATGCATGAAATTCATGTGACATCGAGTACTTTTTGGCAATGACTAAAGATTGTGTTTTCAAAAGCATTTGATTGATTGACTTGTCTATCTCTCACCTTATTCTGCTTGAGAAATGCATGTACAAGTTTGCTGTTGGAAACTCAAGCAACATCATTATAGTATCAAACAAAATCCAATGGAATATACTGTCCATTTGCAATTTTGTTTGTTGACCATGTTTTGTAGGCATTTGTAAACTGCTTCTGACATCTGTTCTTCGCAAATTTCTTGTCTCCAGTATTACTATGAATGTGTGATTTGTGATCTTGGTGGCAACTTGTTGTGTTGTGATAGTTGTCCCAGGACCTATCATCTTCAATGCCTTGATCCACCTCTTAAGGTATGATACCACAGCTGACTTGAGATGATCCTTTCTTTGTTTTGTAGCTGCATTAGCTATTAGTGTTTGACTTCTTTATATCTCTTTTCTTTTCTTTACTCTACTGTGTTATTCATCATTGTAGAGCATTCCAATGGGAAAGTGGTTATGCCCAAACTGCTGTAAGAAAACTGATCCACTCAAGCCCATTTCAATTTCAAAAAGAGCAAGATCAAAAATTATCAAGACAAAAGCTCAAACTGGAATAAAGTCACCTGCTACTGAAAAAGTGTCCCGAATTTTTGGAACATCCATTATTGCTAGGAAAAGATCCTCCTCTAGCAAAGGAAAATCTGGTTTAGCTCAGGGAGTTGATACTTTGAAAAAGGAACCAAGAACATTGCATATGGATGTACCTTGTATCCCCAAGCCAGGTCTTACTTCCCTTGGTGGTGCTGAGGAAGGTGGTTCATCCCTTGATGGTGCTCAGGAAGGTGGTTCTTCCCTTGTGAATGTTGATGACAAAAAGAAGCCTGATGCATCTCCAACAGATTCATCTGGAGGAAGGAAGTTAACTCCTCCTGCTAATGAGGTTTTGTGTCATTCTAAAAGCACAAAGAAGCCTGATGCATCTCCATCAGATTTATCTGCAGAAAGGAAGTTAATTCCTCCTGCTAATGAGGTTTTGTGTCATTCTAAAAGCACAAAGTCTAAACAAAATGATGAAGAACCTGAAGGGAAGAATGAATTTTCTTGTGATAATGAGTCTTCCAGAAACAAAATTGTTCTTGCAATTGGTGTAGTCACAAGGAAAGATAGAAAAAGAAAGCAGAAAGTCAACAATGAGGCAAGTCAAAAGAAGTGTAAGAGAGATAAGGGAAAGCATGCTGTTAGTACTTCCAAGAAAAAAAGGTCTAAAGCAAATAATATTGGTCCTGGAACTATTAAAACTCCTCAGAAACAGAAACCAGTTAATCATGGGGTTTCTGCATCTTTGTCAAAGGATGATGATGGAAGCAAGAACTTTGATACTCATAAAAAAGATGAGGTATGTTATAGTCTTCTCGATTATTATCGTTCTACCAGGTGGTTGGAGGTTTTTCTTTATATTTTTTATGATATGCTCAGGTGGGTTTTACTGTTTTAGATTGAATGATGTGGAAACAATAATAGTTATCTTTAAATGAGGCTTTGTAGATTTTTTAATGTTTTAACCCTCTGGAATTTTTTTGTAATTTAATGGATTTGTTCCCAGTTCCCTTCTTTCCTGAACTGAACTCTTGCATATGTGATCCGGTGCAAATGTTGGTGAAATATAGAGTTGTCAGAATTATTCATTTGGGAGATAATAGCTGGAGAATAAGTTGCTTTGTCTTTTATGTTGGAGCAATTTGCATTAATACATAGAAATCAGAGCAGAGCTCGTATAAGAGGTCTAGGGTCTTTAATTTTCGATTCCCAAAAGGTGTTTGGCGCATGAAACTGTTTATACTTTTTTTATCTTTTTCAATTAAGATTCTCCTTGGCTGAGATTCTCCCACTTCAAATTTGCACTACTTTCTTTGATATGCTACATGTTTCCAATTGTTCTGGATTGCTTGGATTCATTATTTTATATGAATGAAGATTGGAAAACTTTATTATTTTTTATTTGAGAGCCTTTCCCTCAGGTTTTGTTCCCATGTGGTGTACAAATTAAAATTTAAGGTCAGCAGCTTATTTTTTGAACTATCAAATGTTGATTTTAAGATTTTATACTATAGAGTTAGAGGATTTGCTGCTTCCTGCATTATTTGCGCTGGTTTCAGTTTAATATAAGGTATTTTTTATGTACATGTTGTCTTTCATCTTTTATTTGGCTTCCAAACTTAACATGTCCCATATATTCTGAATAGAATGTGTAGTAGTTGTCTGGGGATTTTATATTTGTGTTAAAGTATTTTTGGTCTACATCAGTGCGATAAATGTCCTTAAATCCTGCCTTCTGATATTATAATTTCGTTATTGATTTTAAAATTTAGACCTACAGCTTAGGTTGGATCATCTTTCTTACTGTTCAGGTGGATCTGAATGAGTATGGACTTGGTTTTTTGCCAAAACAATTTATAATTAACTCTCTGTTTATGTTGGACATTTAAGTGTGACTTCCTGAAGTTAATTTATTAAATATATATAAATATATATATCAATGCACCAATATATGATTTCGTGGAAAATATCATTGTTGTCTTCTTGTGGCAATGTTTTTCATTGCTGATCTCATCACATTATTATAACTACTCTTAGAATTCTTTCTGTTGATTGGTTAAAGACTTGCTATTTTCTTGATCAGAAGTTTCCTGAGGACACAACACGCCAGTCAGATGAGTCAGATAAGGGGACTGTGGATGCCTCACTGATACATGAAGACAGTGTTCCTGCTGAATTTCAGCAGGTAAATCTACTCACTTTACATGGTTGTATTAAAAGATCATTGTTTCTGCCTTAAATATATACTCTTTACTTTTGTGGTCAATGAATGGCATTTTTACCCCACATATCTACTTCGCAGGTTGATAGGGTTCTAGGCTGTCGGGTTCAAGGTGATAATGCTAGTGTTTTGCACCATGCATCTGTAGCACTTTTAGAGGATGTGTGTTCTGAAGATTTGCTAGTCGAAGAAAATCAAAACAGACTTTCAGAGGAGAATTCTGTTTGTGATATTGATTCAGATATAGCAGCTACTGAAAATCTTGTAGAAGGTTGTCCTAATACTTTGAAAAGTTCTGTTAAAGAAGAAAGCACTAAGAATGATGTCAGAGTGGATAAAATACATGTATATAGAAGGTCTGTTACTAAAAAATGCAAGGGAGGGAATTCCATGGACTTATTGAGCAACAATGCCAAGGGTTCAGGTTGTGCAATCCTAAATGGTAAGGATCAAGATGAATCTGCAGTAACTGAAGATTCAGGAAACAGAAATGAAAAAATGGTAGTATCTGAGGTGGATGCTGATGTTAGTGTGAGAAGTCATGGTACCATTGAAGTTCCAAAAGTTTGTGAAATGCCTGCAACAACAAAAGAGATGGATATAAAAATGAAAATAAGTAGCAGTGCTGAAAATAAAGTTCAGGAGCCAGCAGTGACTGAGTCTGCATGTTCTAATGGGGAGACAGTTTCAAATGAATTTTTTGTTAAATGGGTGGGGAAGTCCCATATTCATAATAGTTGGATTTCTGAATCCCAGCTGAGAGTTCTGGCAAAGAGAAAACTGGAAAATTACAAGGCCAAATATGGAACAACTGTGATAAATATCTGTGAGGAAAAGTGGAAGAAGCCTCAGCGAGTTATTTCTCTCCATGTTTCAAATGATGGTATGAAGAAAGCTTTTGTGAAGTGGACTGGTCTTCCATATGATGAATGCACTTGGGAAAGATTAGATGAACCTGTTGTTCAACAATCTTCTCATCTGATTGATCTGTTTGAGCAGTTTGAACGCCAGACATTGGAAAAAGATGCTGCTAAGGATGAATCTAGGGTAAAGGGGGATCGGCAGCATGATATTGTTACTTTGGCAGAGCAACCTGAAGAACTGAAGGGAGGCTTACTATTTCCCCATCAGCTGGAAGCACTCAATTGGTTGCGTAAATGCTGGCATAAATCCAAAAATGTTATACTTGCTGATGAGATGGGGCTTGGCAAAACTGTATCTGCTGTTGCCTTTATTTCATCACTTTATTCTGAGTTTAAAGCTACTCTGCCTTGTTTAGTGCTGGTTCCTCTTTCTACTATGCCTAACTGGCTTGCTGAGTTTTCATTATGGGCTCCTGATTTAAATGTTGTGGAGTATCATGGTTGTGCAAAAGCAAGAGACATCATTCGCCAGTATGAATGGCATGCTACTTATCCAAGTGAGTTGAATAAGCGAACAGCTTCTTACAAATTTAATGTTCTTTTAACTACTTACGAAATGATTCTTGCGGACTCCTCTCATTTGCGTGGTGTTCCCTGGGAAGTTCTTGTGGTTGATGAGGGTCATCGTTTGAAAAATTCGGGAAGTAAGCTGTTTAGCTTGCTCAACTCATTCTCTTTCCAACATCGTGTTCTGTTGACTGGAACCCCACTCCAGAATAACATTGGTGAGATGTATAACTTGCTTAATTTCTTGCAGCCAGCTTCCTTCCCTTCTTTGTCTTCATTTGAAGAGAAGTTTAATGACCTTACAACTGCGGAAAAGGTGGAGGAACTGAAGAAACTTGTTGCTCCCCATATGCTTCGGAGGCTTAAAAGGGATGCCATGCAAAATATTCCGCCAAAAACTGAACGAATGGTGCCTGTTGAGCTGTCATCCATTCAAGCTGAATACTACCGTGCAATGCTAACTAAGAACTACCAGATATTACGGAATATTGGGAAAGGGGTTGCACAGCAATCGATGTTAAACATTGTGATGCAGCTGAGAAAGGTTTGTAATCATCCATATCTCATACCAGGTACGGAGCCTGAGTCTGGATCAGTGGAGTTTCTTCATGAAATGCGTATAAAAGCTTCAGCCAAGTTGACTCTTTTGCATTCCATGCTTCAAGCCTTATATAGAGAAGGCCATAGAGTTCTTATTTTTTCACAAATGACTAAGCTTCTTGATATCCTTGAGGATTATTTGACCATAGAATTTGGCCCTAAAACATATGAGAGAGTTGATGGCTCTGTTTCAGTTGCTGATCGTCAAACAGCTATAACAAGGTTCAACCAAGATAAAAGTCGATTTGTCTTCTTGTTATCAACACGTTCTTGTGGCCTTGGTATCAATTTGGCAACAGCTGACACTGTTATAATTTATGATTCTGATTTCAACCCACATGCTGACATCCAAGCTATGAATCGGGCACATCGAATTGGACAATCAAACAGACTTTTAGTATACAGGCTTGTAGTTCGTGCCAGTGTAGAAGAACGCATCTTGCAGCTTGCTAAAAAGAAACTAATGCTTGATCAGCTGTTTGTCAACAAGTCTGGATCTCAAAAGGAAGTGGAAGACATACTGCGATGGGGAACAGAAGAACTATTCAATGATTCTTCTAGTGGAAAAGATTCAGGTGAAGGCAATTGCAACAAAGATGTGTTAACGGATGTAGAACATAAGCACCGGAAGAGGGGTGGTGGTTTGGGAGATGTGTACCAGGACAAATGTACGGATGGCAGCAACAAGATTGTGTGGGATGAAAATGCAATTTTAAAATTGCTTGATCGGTCAAACCTTCAGTCTGGATCAACTGATGTTGAGGGGGATTTGGAGAATGATATGCTTGGCTCAGTAAAGGTGAGGTATTATACTCATATTATGTTGAACTGTATGGTTTTTATGTTAATACATGCATCGATTAGCATATGCAATGACATATTCTACTGCTTTTTTTGCATGGGACATAAAAAATGATGCATTTGTTTCATAAAACCATTGCAGGTACTGTTTTATTGCATCTGTGTTTGCTGTTTGAAATAAAAGGGTCCTACTTTAAAAACTAGGTTTAGTTGGTCAAACTAGGAGCTCCAGCGTCTTTCCCTTGGTTGTCGCAAATTGTACCTGCTTATTAATATTTAGAACAGCTTTGGCACTACTATAGCCTCCTCGGAGCTTTAGGTTGTTAAACTGATTGTATACATTTTATAAGCATTTTTGTGCATAAAACTTGCATGTTATTGCCAACTATTAGAGCCAGTTGTAGAGGTTACTGCACTGCATTTTTTTTTTCTTCTAAACTTTTGTTGCCCTGAGAAGTCATGCTTATGTAAGAGATTTTTTATTTTAAAATTGATAGCTTATTCAATGCATTACTATTTCATAATCGATCTATATTTTGCCATCATTTGTGGGGTCGTAAAACTAGCTGCTGATTAAACTTTATCGTCCTTAAAAAATTTGTGGTTGTAAGTTGTTAATATTTTCTTCAGTCTTTGATCTTATATCTTAAGACCTTTCCTGTTTTTATCATTTGTACTCATTCTAATTTCAAAGAAAGCTGTAGAATCTTTATATTTGTTATTTTCTATCATTTTCTCATTTTCTTCATGTGCAGTCCATGGAATGGAATGATGAAGCAACAGATGAACCAGGGGGAGGTGAATCACCTTCAGCTGTTGCTGATGATATTTCTGTGCAGAATTCTGAGAGGAAAGAAGATAATGTGTTAAATGGTACTGAAGAAAATGAATGGGACAAACTTTTGCGTGTGAGGTGAAGATCTTTTTTCTTTTCCCCTCCATTTCTTCTTTGAGAAAAAAATTGTTGAACTAAAGGTTTCTAACATATAAATGCACAGGAAAATCTAAGTTTTTGATGCATTTGAAAAACCCATTAGAATGGTTAAGGACATGATTAAATTTATGCACTAACTGGTGTCATGGAATGAGGTCAACATCGAGGAATTTGAGTTTGTTGAAGCTATCAGGATCTCCACAAACATTCCATCAGGTGTTAAACTTGAGAAAATCTCCTTTTTCTCATGTTCTTTCAATTATAGGAATGGCATTGTTGTTAAATTATTGAGCTACATAAGACGCAACGTTTGCTTTTTGTCCCAAAATGTTAAGTCAGAGTAGGGATGGCTCTCATTGCCTGCACTGACCTGGAGGTGGGCCAGTGGCAGGTTTATACTTCCTTATGCTGTACAAGAACTTGCTTATAAAGAGACTATTTTTATTGATTTTAAATATATTTTTTGTGATCAATCATAATTTTTAGTATCTAAGAAAATTTTATGGAATTTAGGGCTATATTTGGCATTTTTTATTTATGTTAGGGTTATAAATAGGCTATAAGTTTAATACCTCTGTTATTTCAGTTTCTAGTAGTTTTGGATTATTGAGCTTTTTTATTATTGAGATATTGAGAATTGAGATCTCACGTTTAGGGTCATTGAAATTCCAATTATATATTGAGATTTGTAGTAGTTATTGGTAGTTTCTTTGGTATCATTGGTGCTTATAAATTTTGACAGCATTGCATCTGGAGATCTGTAAATTTTGCCACCAAATCTGGTTTTGCAAAACAAAGTTATGATCTTTCATATTTCCTGCTCTTTGTCCTACTATCTTGGTTTTTGGCTTTGTAGATAGTTGTGATTCTTCATGTCCAGTGAAGCTTCTATGTGAGATGAAATTGATAACCATACATGGTCCATAATTCAGAACTGGCCATTGTATTTGAAAGAAACAAAACTTGCATGATAAATGAATTATGCTGGAGGTGCTGTTCAGAAATAATAAATGCTATTGTGGAAAAATTGAGAGTATATAGAAAAATTTGTCTATTGAATCATACAAACACCATAGGTTTAAATACAGCTAACTAGAGGGTAAACTAGCAAACTAAATATTCTTAAATCTGATCCCCATAATCAAGGGATTGTCTATCTTGATATTCTGTCCTTAATTCTAGAAATACAAATTCTCAATTTTAGGGATACAAATTATACATATTACAATCAGCAGATTACAATTAGCTACACAGATTACAATCTGTTGTAACTAAATATTTTCCCACACTCTTCCTCAGGTTGGTTAATAGGTGTTTTCTATTCTCAGCTTGGAAATAATTTCCTGAAATGTTGCACTGCTGAGACCTTTAGTCAACACATCTGCAACTTGACCCTTGGTTGATACATATGGTGTGCAAATCAATCCACTGTCTAGTTTCTCTTTTATGAAGTGCCGGTCTACTTCAATGTGTTTTGTTCTGTCATGTTGCACAGGATTGTGTGCAATGCTTATTGCAAACTTGTTATCATAGTAAAGTCTCATTGGTCTATCCCATTTGATCTTCAAGTCTTCTAAGATAATCTTTACCCATAGTAGTTCACAAATTCCTTGAGCCATTGCCCTAAACTTTGCTTCAACACTTGATCTTGCCACCATATTCTATTTTTTACTCCTCCAAGTTACAAGATTACTACCTAGAAAGTGCAGTAGCCTAAGGTAGATCTTTTGTCAGTTACCAAACTTGCATAATCAGCATCTGTATATGCCTCTAGTACCAACACTGAATTTCTTTTAAATAAGATACCTCTGCCAGGATTAGTCTTCAAATAGTGTAATACTTGGTAGACAACCTGTAGGTGCACTTTTTTAGGACAATGCATAAATTGACTTATCACACTCACAGCGTATGCTATGTCAGGTCTAGTATGTGTGAAATAAATAAGTCTTCCAACTAATCTCTGGTATATCTTCTTATCTACAGCAGCATCTTCATTAGCTTGTCCAAGTTTATGATTAGGATCTATAGGGGTACTTGCAGGTTTACATGCGAGCTTTCCAGTTTCCTTCAAAAAATCCATCACATATTTTTGTTGTGAGATGAACATACCATGCCGTGAGTGAGCTACTTCAATTCCTAGGAAGTACTTCAATCTTCCTAGCTCCTCTATCTCAAATTCTCTAACCAAATACTGTTTTAGAGATTCTCTCTCTTTTTCATCATCTCCAATTACAATTATATCATCAACATATACTAACAGAACTATGACTTTCCCTGAATCTGATTGCTTGATAAACAGCGTGTGATCCCTTTGACTCTGTTTATATCCCATTGCTAGCATCACTTTGGCAAATCTCCTGAACCAGGCCCTAGGAGACTGTGTATGGCCATATAAAACCTTTTTCAGTTTGCATACTTTTTTTGCTTCTAGATGACCTCCAAATCCCGATGGAACTTTCATATATATTTCTTCTTCCAAATCACCATGTAAAAAGGAATTCTTTACATCAAATTGTTGAAGCTGCCAATTGTAATTTGCATCCAAGGATAACAAAATCCTAACTGTATTCATCTTGGCAACTGGAGCAAAAGTTTCCTGATAATCCACTCTATGAGTTTGAATGTAGCCCTTAGCCACCAGCCTAGCCTTATACCTTTCAACAATACCATTTGCCTTGTATTTTACAGTGAAAACTCATTTACACCCGATTGGATTTTTTCCTGTAGGCAACTCTACCAATTCCTATGTCTTATTTTTCTCTAAGGCCTGCATTTCTATTTTCATGACCCGTCTCCATTTCTTATTGGATAATGCCTCAGATAATGTAGTTGGAATAGAAATAGTGTTTAAGCTCACAAGAAATAGCTTTCCCATAGTAAGATTTGGGTACATTTACTTGAAAGAGGAAGGCTCGGGTTGTGGCTAGTAAATGGCTGCTTTTTCTCTTTGCCACTCCATTCTGCTATGGAGTATTAACACAAGATGACTCATGGATAATTCCCTCCTTTTGGAAATAGGTGGATAGACTCTGGTTGAAATAGTCTTTTGTATTATCAGATCTAAATCTCTTGATTTTTATTCCAAATTGATTTTGGATCATGTGTTGGAAGCTTAAAAGTGCACTATTCACATATGATTTGGATTTAAGTAAAAATATCAAAGAGATATTGGTACATTCATCTATGAAAGAAACAAACCATCTTATACCAGAAATATTAAGAATTATAGAGGGTACCCCATATGTCATTATGAATCAAGTGAAAATGAGTAGAACTTCTTCTATTGCTAATTGGAAAAGACACCCGTCTATGCTTTGCAAGTTTACAAACATCACAATGAAAATTTTCAGCATTTAATCCTTTGAACAAAGAAGGAAAAACGTTTTTCAAAGTTCCAAAAGAAGGATGTCCAAGATGAAAATGATAAAGCCAAATTTTGCCATTGTTGGGAGATTTTTCATAAAAAAATGACAAAGGTAAACTAATCTTGATATTACATGTGTTGTTTGATGTCTCAAGATGGTATAGTCCATCTTTCTTAGCAAGTCCAATCCTTTTCCCTGAACTTTGGTCATAAAATTCACAATAGAAAAGATAAAAAGTCACTTTGCAGTTCATGTCTCTGGTAAGTTTTTGTATAGATATTAGATTAGTAGACAATCCAGAAGCAAGAAGAACATTTTTAAGAACAAACAAGGGATTAATTTGAACACTCTTAGTCCTGCCATTATAGTAAATGAACCATCTATAACAACAATTTTTTTATTACTAGGACACAAGGTATATATATTAAACTTTTGTGAGGAATGTGTCATATGGTCTGTGGTTCCTTAAGTCAATGACTCAAGAACTTGTAATAGGCTTAATCGAGACATTTAATTCATGAAAATTAGAAGCTTTACCTGAACTAGAGACCTTACCCAGAGAGCATACCTCAGTAGGCTTTTCAAGAGTTTTCAATAGCCTTCTTAGTTTCTCAATCTCATCTCTGTCCAACTCTCTTTGTTCCTAATAGTTCTGTAGTACTCCGGTGGTTTTACTAGTTATCACTTTCTCAAATTAGGTAGTAGTTGTAGACTTTGCTATCTCTGGCATGGTTGTCTTTCTCAGGATTGAAACGAGTCTTGATAGTAAAGATTTAACCAGACATGATTCTAGACAATGAAGGCCAAAGAAGGAAAAAATAAGATTGAAAGATTTAACAAGAGTTGGTTATGAAGGCTCGAAATAGAATTCAACAATGAAGGTTGGAAAAATTTTCTTCCCAAGAAGAGTCTAAAGCTCTGATACCATGTAGAAAAACTAAGAAATAAAACAGTGTGGAAAACTAAGAGTAAAACTGAATGTAGATTGAAAACTGCTCATAAAGAACTATACAATCTCCTTAGGTTTTGTGGAAAAACTAATAAATAAAACTATGTGAAAAACTAAGAGTAAAATTGAATGTATATTGAAAAACTGCTCATAAAGAATTATACAAGCACCTTAGATATACAACTAACTAGTGGGTAAACTAGGAAACTAAATCTTTCTAAAAACTGATCCTATAATTGAAGGATTGTCTATCTTAATTTTCTGTCCGTAATTCTAGGTATACAAATACTTAATTCTAGAGATATAAATATAAATATATAGATTACAAGATTACAACCAGCTGTAAATAAATGTTTTCCCACAGGTTTATATACAACTAACTAGTGGGTAAACTAGGAAATTAAATCTTCTTAAAACTGATTTTATAATTGAGGGATTGTCTATCTTAATTTTTTTTCCTTATTTCTAGGGATACAAATACTTAATTCTAGAGATACAAATATAAATATAAAGATTACAAGATTACAACTAGCTATAAATAAGTGTTTTTTTACAGTTCGATGTGAGAATAGCAACTCTTACACCTTATAATTTTAATTGCATTTCTTGGAAAACAATCAATGCATTTAATTTGAACCTGTGAAAATCTTGTGTGCTAAATTTGAAGCAGTCCAACCATTTAGCCAACTAATTAGCATATGGTGTATATACCTTTGAATAAATTACAGTGATATATTATTCAGATAGTATATCTTAAAGTATTGAATCTCGTTTAAATGTGTCATGCATGATTTGAAGATTAAATTCAAATGAGCTTTTGTTATAGGAAGATTATAACTAAATCCAGTTGAAAATATTCAAACGTTAAATTCAATTAAACTTTTGTTAGAGCTTAACAAAACTCGTCATCAAAATGAATGTCACAAACTCAAGTTCCCATTTTGGCAGTTGAATTTATTTTTGGACTCCTTGTGTTAAACTTTCTTGCTTGATTTACTGGGTAACAGGTGGGAGAAATATCAAATTGAGGAGGAAGCGGCCCTTGGTAGAGGGAAGCGACAGAGGAAAGCCGTCTCTTATAGAGAAGCATATGCTCCGCATCCCAATGAAACAATGAGTGAGGTAGTTCACTTTGCTTTCTGCATTGGAATGAATGTAAAACTGACTTCTCTCATTTCTCCTTAATAATATGTAAAACTTTTTCAAATCTTATGGACATACTTGCATTGTTCCACAAGCAAATGAATGCTTAGTAGCCTGTAACTTGTAAGTAAGCTACATTAGTTCATGCACTGCTTATTCATGGTGTTTGCAACTTATTATTCTGTTAACAAGTAGAGCGGTGGTGAAGAAGAAAGGGAACCACAAGCAGAGCCAGAGCGGGAATATACACCGGGGGGACGAGCTCTTAAAGCAAAGTAGTAAGTTGATTCTTTCCCATCATTTCAATTTGTTTAATTTTCTGTTGAGATGCTGGCAAAATAGTATTTTTCAAAATTATGTTGCTGACAATAATTCGAATGCATGGTTAGCTGGGTTTGATTGTTAAATCAGGTAATGAATGTCTATAATCTCTATAATGAATATGTTGGGGCTAAACTGTTGTACGTTATCAGGTGAATATACATGCTCTCCTAATGGAAACTCTTTGAATGATTTGGCAGTCATTTCTATACTCAAATCGTTTACTTTCAGAGATACAATTTGGGTTAACTTTCTCAAGTAAATTAGTAGGATATATTCTTAAGTATTTGACATCATGGATGCATTAATTTACTTTGTTATCATTTTTGGACAGTACCAAACTTCGAGCACGACAAAAAGAACGGCTTGCTAGTAGGAATGCAATTGAAGAATTGCGTACTAGAGAGGGATTTTCTGAACTTTCAGTAGCTCATTGTCCTTCCATGAATGACAGAGATGGGGATCATGTTAATCAATCAGTTCAACAGCCAGATAAAGAAAAGTGTTCCATAATTGACTTGGAGGGTAACAAACTTACTCAATCATCAGATGAATTAAGGCTTGGGAAGCTGTCAAAACATAAAATAAGCAGTCAACTGGATCTTTCTGTTAATCCTCTTCATCAGTCTTCTCCTGACATAATCCTTCCGAGTAACAATCATCAGGGCACAAGTTATACCAACTCACTTCCAACCGACAACTTGTTACCAGTTCTTGGGCTTTATGCCCCTAATGCTAAACAGTTAGACTTGTATCATAGAAACTTCTCAAGATCAAATGGCAGGCAGAGCAGGGCAGGAACTGGTCCCTTCAGTTTAGCTACGGCTACTGGAACTTCAACTGAGAAAGAAGCAAAAGGCCAAGATACTACCCTGGACAAATTTAGATTGCAAGATACATCACCAGAAGTTTTGCAACGTCTTAAAAATGGAAACCAAGAAAATTGGCTCCCATTTAGCCTGGTAACTCTTTCTCTCCATTTTTTTAGTTGTCAATTACAAAACCTTCTGGTTCATGTAAATATGTGATGACAAGACTTGTTTCCTTGCAGTATCCTCCTGCTGTTCCACAAGGAAAAGTTTCTGACCAATTAGAAAGTTCTGGTGCTAGTTTTTCTGATTTTCAGGAAAAGATGTCACTGCCTAATTTACCTTTTGATGAGAAATTACTGCCCCGATTCCCCTTTCCTACCAAAAGCACGACCATGTCACATCATAATCTATTGCCTAGCTTATCCTTAGGGAGTAGGCTGGATGCTGTAAATGAGTCCATGCAAGACCTTCCAACAATGGCATTGCCTACCAATTTGAAGTTCACTCCACAGGATGTGCCTAGGTATAATCAACAAGAGAGGGACATGCCTCCAACATTGGGTTTGGGTCATCTGCCATCCATTTCTTCTTTTCCTGAAAACCATAGGAGGGTGCTTGAAAATATTATGATGAGAACTGGATCTGGATCTGGATCTGGGAACTGGTATAAAAGGAAATCAAAGGTAGAGGGCTGGTCAGATGATGAACTTGATTTTCTCTGGATTGGTGTTCGTAGACATGGACGAGGGAATTGGGATACCATGCTTAGAGACCCCAGGCTAAAATTTTCAAAGTATAAAACTTCAGAAGATTTGGCAGCTAGGTGGGAGGAGGAACTACTCAAAATTTTGGATGGCTTAGCTTTTCCAGTTCAAAAATTCACCAAGCCAACAAAAACTACCAAAACTTCTTCCTTGTTTCCGAGCATTCCTGATGGAATGATGACACGGGCATTGCAGGGTAGTAGATTTGTTGCACCATCAAAATTTCAAACTCACCTGACGGATATGAAATTGGGTTTCAGTGATCTAGCTTCCAGCCTGCCTCACTTTGGGCCATCAGATCAACTTGGTTTGCAAAATGATCATTTTCCTTCTATTCCAACATGGAATCCTGAGAAATTTCGGGCAAACTTTCCTGGAGACTCAATTGCTGGACCCTCTGATAGGCCAGGCCCATCTTTGAATGTACCTAGTGAGAGACCTTTTCTTCTCAATTCTTTTGGAGCCAGCAACTTCGGCTCTAGTCTGAATTGCTCCAGTAGCTTTGATTTACACAGGAAGGAGGACGATTATGGTTCAATGAAGTATGGGAAGTTGCCTAGTCTTCTCGATAGATCACTACATATTTTACGTGATTCCTACAATAATGGGGGAAGTGTTGAATCTCTCAGCTCTGGATTTCTGACTGATCCAAACGAAGGACTGAACCTTTCCCATTCAAAGGGAAAAGAGGCAGTTGGAAATAGTTCTTCTTCCAAGAACAAGTTACCTCACTGGCTTCGGGAAGCTGTTAGTGCTCCTGCCAAACCACCAGATCCTGATCTACCACCCACTGTGTCAGCAATTGCTCAGTCAGTTCGTGTACTGTATGGAGAAGATAAGCCAACCATTCCCCCATTTGTGGTACCGGGCCCCCCTCCTTCTCTGCCAATGGATCCAAGACATGGTCTAAAGAAGAAAAAGAAGCGGAGGTCACATATATTCAGGCAGGTCCTACCAGATGCCGTTGGAAGTAGTAGTCTCCCTCCGGCATGCTCAATTCCATTAACCCCACCATTTCAACTGCTTCCACAACCAATAACTGGAAGTGTGGGGCTTCCTTGGATTGAATCTGATCTCAATCTGCCTCCCCTTAACTTAAGTACGATGAATCCCTCGTCTTCATCAGCATATCTAATTCCACCAAAGAAATCAAGCATGGGATTATCCCCCTCCCCTGAAGTGCTTCAACTGGTAGCATCTTGTGTTGCTCCTGGCCCGCACTTGTCATCAACTTCCAGCATGACAAATTCTAGCTTACTTGATAGCAAGCTTTCATTGCCAAAATCTGTTAATGAAGTTGGGTACCCAGATTCACAAGGTTTGTCTTACAAAGGGAAGGGTAAACAGAGTCCTCCTATTGATGTACAGGATCATACTTTGGAGGAGAGACAAGCTGAGCCTGATGGTGGGGATTCTAGCAAGATTCAGTCTGATCCTTGTCGGCCCAAACGGGCTGATGTAGAGGAAATATCATCAGAAGGCACTGTTTCAGATCATCCTGTGAGTGACCATGAACCGTAGGTGTTATACAGGAGTAGACAGTGAAAAATAATTATTCTTTGATGTGCTTGAATTTTTGTAGGCGTGATGCAGAGTGATTAACTAGCGTATATAGGATCATCTCTAGTGTATAGTTTATGTAAAAGGAAATGAAATGTCTACCGTTATCTGCATGCAATCGTTTCTTTTGTCGTCTTGCCTTCAGTTGGAGAGCTCGCTATTATTTGCTGAGCGAACAATGAAATTTTCATGTGCATAATGAGGTTCATTCAGCGGATCTGACCAGGTGAATAGAATTTAGACGAAAGTTTCTTTCATGTTGCAGTAAGCTTCTGTCACCTATATCTTTTCAAACTATATGAGCTGTGCTAATTTTTGTTTGGTAATTGTAAAGTATATCCTTCTGAATGTGAAAATCATTGGAGTTTATATTGGGGCACTAAAGTAATAATAATGATTGGTGTAGGCATGGATCATGGGTATATAACACATGATTTAGTTAATATTTGCTGCAGCTAAAGAATGAAAACTTATGCGATAATGTTCCATGTATTACTCTAATTTTCTCTGAGGTAAAGATAGTTTCTCCTTGTAGGTGCTGGTATAGCTTGATTAGAAAATGCAAGATCTTCCCTTTTAGACAAACCAATTTTCCTAGTTTTGGTTACAAATTGTTTTTCTTTTTTTGTTGTGAATTAGGTTGGATTGATCCTATATTTGTGTAATATTTCGATATTATAATGTGGATTGAATTCTTTCTTGAGTTAGCCCCGGGAAGCAGTCTGTTTTGGTTTTATATCCGTATAATGGTGCTTGATTTGAAATTCGAATGGTGCTTATGACTGATGACATATCTTTGCTTTCACTGTGACAGTATGACATTACAGCAAAGCCACGATGTCATAGCGCGAGTTGAAAGTACTGTAAACATTCTAGTACATAATCAATGTCAGATTGGTGGCTTCACTCTAAACCATGATATGTGAACTAAAAAAAAGTGAAGTGAGTAGAGCGCTGGTAGGGTAAAGCATAGAAAAACACTGTGATGGAATCGCTAATTAATTTGTGGGTTTACATTTATCAAAATCAAATTCTCGATTATTTCTTTTTCATTGTTAAATGCATTGGTAAATAAAGAATAAGCTGACCCTCCGTCAATAGTGGAATTTTGTCTCCCATAAGAAATTAGTATCAACATATATATATATATATGTATATATATATATTCAGCATTGATAATAATCTACTGGGATCAAGATGGTAGCTGCCCTGGCTACACATGAATATATGCCCACATTTCCAGAAGGAAACCATTCTCTGTTTCTTTCTTTGTCATGCTCAAAAAGATGCTTCAATGAACAGATTCAATTTAACATGTCTATATTCCTTAGCGTCTGCAACCATTTAACTGCATTTTTGGGGGACAAAATTTTCAAATGTTTCTATTCTGACTGACTATTATCTGAAATGAAATTGGAATCTTAAGTACCTGTCCTTTGCAACCAATCCAAACAAAACAAAAACAACTCCATCTGATTCCTTTTAACAAACATCTAACTACGACGGTTGTTTTGATATCTACTAACACTATACAAACAAGCTCCTCTTTCTTGTCTATCATCAAGGAGAGCTAGCTAGTTCCATTGTTTTCTGGTTTTAAGTTTAAACTAAAGATTTCATACTGCATTCCATATACAAATATATATAGTATTACCTTTGCTACTGCCGGCTCATTAAAACTAACCTGAAAAGATACAAATGACAGTTTTTCCTAATCCTCCTCTTTTGTTTGACCATAAACATTAAAATAATAATAACAGTAATGACGAATGAAAAGAAAATTAAGGAGCAGCAGCAGCAGGCAGCATGTGGTTTGAGGAAGCTGGTCTTCTTGGGTTTGCCACAAATCTTGAAGAGAATGCATAGAACTGGTAGTAATATTCATCATCTACCGCGCTCCCACACCCGCTTCTATCAAAGTTGAGAGAATAGCTCAATGGATCATACCGGCACTGGAATGAGCTTTGCCTACTTGCTCTTGCACCCCGTACCATCTCTTTACTCTCTTTCTTCACCTTCCTTACAATCCTTGCTAGACATGCACAACAGCAACTTGGCGTCCCATTTTTGCCCACTGAGGAGCTTCTACCAGTCGTGGCTCTGGTGGTGGTGCTGCTTGAGGCTGCACCTCTATCGCCTCCCCTTTTGCTGGTGCAAGTGCTTTTTGGCCACCAAAGAAGCCACATCTGTGCCATTGTTTCTCTTTCTGTCTGACTAGGACTACGAGGGTATTGCGGATTTTGTGAGCTAGTGCTAAAATGAAACAAACAAGAGGAGGTGGAGAGTGAGAGGATCATGTGGATTTAGGCTCTGAAAGATATATAGAGGAGTGGGGAAGTGCAATCACGCTCCTAAGGAGAGAGTGGAGGTGGGGCTTAGTGGTGTCTGTTGGTTATTAAAGTGGAAGACTAATTAATTTTTAATATAGATTTTCATGCAAAGCCAAGCGAGCCAAATGTGAAAATGGCTTCTTTACACTTTGATGTTTCATCATCCACGTGACCCACTAGGAGTTAAAATAAAAAAGTTGGAAGATGGTGAAGCTTTTGAGTTGAAGCTTTGTTTTCTTCACTCTTTTTTCAACTCGAAAGGAAGTTGCTCAAAGTCCTGTACACAAAGCATGTCTGTTGTCATTTCGTTTTGATTCCATAAGTTCCTTATTGTCTCTTTTTAGTCCTGGAATTTTTATATTAGAAGTGAGTCTCAGTTTGTAATGAGTATATCTGTGTGTTCCAATTTATTGACCATGCATGCTGTTCTGCACCGCAGTACTCAAAACATATGAGAGGCACAATGGGTCGGGGTCAGGTGGCGTTTATAATAATAATAATAATAATAAGGAAATAATAGTACTTACTATTGTACTAGTAGCGTATACTCTTTTGTTTTCTAAAAATGTATACGTATTTATTTATATATAACGTAAAGCAAAATGATGCAGCAGCAGCAGCAGCATAGATGAAATGATTTTGTGTTTCACTCAGTCTATAGGGAAATGATTGATACATAAAGTAAAAGTTGATAAATTTCCTCTCTTTTACAGTGTATGTAATTAGCTCAACTTCGATGAAATCTCTTTGAACTGAAGGGGCAAAGGGCAGAAGAGGGAGTCTGAAATTAAATTCCAATCAGCGGAAGAGCTAGCAGTGGCCAGTGGGCATTCACATGGTCATGGTGGTGACAAGATGCATATGCTTGGCAGGCACAGAAATACTACTATATATTATATATTTATTTATAAATTAATATGTCAGACCTTTGACTCAAATCATATGAGATGACTTGAAATTGACAGTCCCCACTTGTTATGTTATATATATTATTCATGTGGGCGGGCCTCGAATCCTCACTTATATGCTTTAACATACGTACATCATATTTTATGTAGCAGTATGATCTTCTCTCTCTTTTGCTTAATTTTCAGTACGACATATATAGTCTGGTATAAGGATATTGATAATGGGTGGATTCACAATCCACAATCCCACATTACCCATTTTTGGTGAATACGAAACTCTGAATAACAGATACAGTATTTGTAGTCTGAGAAGAAGACAGTCAATCTCATCAAAGGGCCCGGGGTTGACTGCTTAGGGTTGATTGATTGATTGATTCCTCGAAGACTGAGAAGGCCGAAGGGAGGAAAGGAGATGATCCTACACTCACATGCTGCTGGCGATATAGAAGAAAAGAGGGAAAGCAAGCCACATGCCCCTCTTTCTCTCTCTGACAAACACAAACTTGTAATTGAGATTAACCATCAAATGCTGATGCAGTGCTCCTAAAATTCATAATTGAAGATAATTGTGCTACAAATATCAGTCCAGTTGATGTTGATGATTTTTTTTTTGGAAATTTTCTTAGCTTTTATTGGTAATACCGATCACACAATTTTTTAATTTTAATTTACTCATCTTGAACTTATTGTAAATTTCTTGCTTTCATAATTAATAGTTAAAATCATATGTATGTTATAATTACACACAACACCAAAAGCAATTGAAAATTAACTAGGATTTACTATTGCTTGCAACTATCCAATATCCATGTCCTAAAGTGATTAATTGAAGAGATTACTAAAAAAAAAATAAAAATTGATGAGAGGTTTGCTTCCATATATAGTGGATTTTGGTTCAACTTTTATGTGGTCAAAGTGAGACCAACATCGTAGCCAGGTTTTAAAAAATTTGCTAAAGCTAGCTGCTGCAGCTACTCAAGATTCTTTCAGTAGATTTGACTGCATATATACATAGACACACCTCATTCGCAGTGTTACTCATGTGCATAGAACATGGCCATAGGCAACCATAGATATAGTAATAGGACTTGCACGATTTTTAATTCCCTCTTTGTTTTGGGGTTTAAATAAATAAACAAACCACATTGTTAGAGTATATATTAGTATTTTGTTGCGTCAGTTTCCACGCGCTTTCAAAGGATGATCTACATGGTACCCTTTCCCAGAAAACAATACTAATTACTAGAAAGAAAAAGATGAGTATTTAAGGTGCATGCATTGCATGATTCAAGGGTTCAACTGGGGGCGGCTTTTTATCTAATTAAATTAAATTAAATTAAATTAAAATTTACATAGAATTTTTTATTTTTTTTTTACTCTGATCCTAATTTTTCACATTTTGGATTTCGTTTTATTTTGCTTCCTCCACTTTTGTGTAGTTTACGAGGTTCAAAGATAAGTGTACTACTTTAGATATGGAGTAAGATTTAGAGGGTCAAGGTTTTGAATTAATAAAGTTGAATCTTGCACAATGAAACCGACTAATTCAAGTAGAGTATATTAAATATAAATTTAACTATTATATATTTTCCTTTTCACTCGCATGAAAAAAATGAGAGGCATCAAAAGACAAAAAAGGATAGGCCAAACCTGGTTAAATATGTATATGGCCGAGTTAGGTTAATCATGGTTTATTATTTACTTATGATGCTTCCCAAAACATGAATATATGAATATATATTTGTAATTTTTAATCTACTCTTAAACTCTTTTATCTTACAGTATACTTACTTGACTAAAAAAAAAATATTCTCATTTAAATTCTCTTGATCCCGTTAACTCTTAGAATTGATTTACCAACTTATTCAAAAAAGTCGGTGGATATCTAAATCTTCTACATATTTTAAATATATATATATATATTGAAAGTGGGATAGTTATAGGTCAACAATTTGACTGTCATGTGCCTGGAATATGGTCCCTAACCTGTAAATCTAAATATATTTTTTATTAACTAGATATCAAAAGAATGATTAACCAACAACGTGCATGCTTCACTTGGGTCAGTAATTATAATTAGTTTAATACTATGAGAGATAGATAGAAAGAGTTTTGTATATAATAATGCAAAATCAATGAAACCAATTAAAAAATATAAAAATGTAGGTACAAAATTTAATCACAATTTTCTACTGCAGAAACCGATAGATGGTTTTCCATCTTTTTGTTATATTAGATTTGTCTGTCATACACTTTTTGTTATAGTTATTTTATTAATGGTCAATAGTTTCCAATGAATATTCACTTGAATGAGAAATTTCTTTTTCAGGAAAAAATATCTGTTTTATTTAAAAGGAAAAAAAAAAAAAAAAAAAAGACAAACAAATTAGGGAGGTTTTTCTAGTTAAGGGCACTCGCAAGAATGGGCTTACAACAATAGCCCAATAAAAGGAAACTTTGGATATTTGTCAACTGTCATGGGTTCGGTGTCCCGTTTTGCTTATCTTTGGGCTTAAAAAATTGGGTATCCTAATCCGAGGGGGACTATTAAGTGCGCTTCCTGATGCCCGTCGTTGTTTTTGCTTGTGGCATGTAGTGAGCAAGATACCAGAGAAGCTTATTTATTTGATAGGCAACGTGAAAATTTCACGACTGAATTAGATGAATTCATCTTAAAACTTATATGGATGAACATGTTTAAACTTGAAAAGAAATGGTGGGAATTGGTTGACGGATTTGTATTTAAGATCGTCAACAAAGGGTACCAACCTATATGAGAGGCATTTTTCTTGCAGGGATACCTACAGTGCCAACGATCAGACAGTGAAAGCTCTCCCTTCCACAAATATCTGCAAATTAAGGAAAACCATGTTAAAAGAGTTCTTAGATCAGTATAAAACAATTTAATTTCCAAAAGAAGTCTGAAAAGGAAGCTAAAGCTGACTTTGAAACTTGGCATAAAGCCATAAACCACCTGGACTGAAATCTCCCTAACTTTATGAAAAACAAATAACACCTTTGTACACATGCAATATTTAAAAAATTTCAGGTTGAGGTTTTGGGATGGATTGCTTGTCATCTAAGGAAAGAAAGTGATCAGGGGGAGACACCACAACTTTTGAGGTTCAAGACTTTGAAAAAAATCATGATTTCATTGTGGTGTGGAATGATACAGCATCATATATATCTTGTTTATGTCGTGGTTTTGAATTTAACGGTTTTCCTTGTCGACATATACTGATTATTATTCTGCAGTTGTCTGGGGTACAAAGCATCCCCTCACAGCATATATTGAAACGTTGTACAAAGGGTGCAACAAGCAAAGCATCCCCTACAGTTGTCTGGCACAATTCTTAAATAGTATGATTTCATTCTTGTTGCAGGGACAATTGAACTCTATTGGTCGCCACAGATTCTCATTCCATTACTCAACAAATAAAATGAATGGGATGGTATGGCTTTCTGTTATGTGATTGCTGAGAACTTTGCATTTTATATCTATGTATAATGATGGTATTGAGGGATTTTCATGCTTCCTAGGCCATACCACAAGAAGTATATAAGGTTCCCTTGTATTGAGCTCTCCTCAAATTATCATTTGTGTTTGTATAAGCGAATTAAGCTTGTTAAATGATGATGCCTATTGTGCCTTCAGAGGGGCATGGTACACAAGGCATTTCCAGTTGTTATGACATTCAGGGTGGTTAACAAGTTATGGTACACAAGTTGCTGCTTCGAATTTTCTGGTATTTAGTTTCTGCGGTTTCTTACATCAGGATTTTGCTCTTATTTCAGGACCAACCTAATGTAGGGTCCCTCAGTTGCACGGCATGGCATGGCATCAAAACAGCTTCATTCCGAGCACATCTCTCCTTTCTAACAAAAGTGATTGAAGTATTTGAGTTCAGTAATTGATTGTTGTCATCAATAATAAACTTGAGTCAACAAGCATCCACA